TTCTTCCAGAGAGTCCAGGATTTTTTGGTGGATTTCTAAACGATGCAATTTCCTTGCGCTTGGATTCCTATTCACATTAATGGGGACATCATTCTTTTATTTAATGCACTCAGTTGAAAGGTGAAACAGATCATAACCCTGGAGTCCTCTTTCCCTGCACTCACCCAGCCCTGTTTTCTAACTTCAAATGAAAACGAAGCAGTGAATCTTCATGCCATGGGGTGATGGATGTAAGGAATAGCATCTTATAACTCTTCTTCATTATAACCAGCAAATAAAACTCCCAGGTGGTGCTGAGAGTGGAGGTAAGGTGATGTCTAAGTCACCGATCTCCACAGGTAATTTACGAGAGACTGGGTCACTTAATGTCCTCTGGGGCAGGGAGGGTGAAAGAGACAAAGGAATCAGAACGGCAGCTCTGTGACCTTTGAAGCCAGTGGGCATGGTGAACAGTTATGTCTGGCCGCAAGAGGTGAATGAGTGGTGAGAGTCCAGAATTCTTTCATCCCAGTTCTTCTCTACTGTCTCCTGCAGGGCCAACAGAGCTATGTCCCTTTGCCTGGCGTGTTGTTCGGCCCTGACAAAAGGATGAGGCAGTGGAAAGATTAGTGAATAAGGAATGTTCATTTATGAGAGCATGTGTTTCCCACAGTCTCTCTTCCTAAACTCAGTGGTCAGCCCTAATCTCCCTGCATCCTCCCCAGGCACCTTCAGAAGGAGGCTCTGCCCACCTGGAACGAACATAGTGAGAAACGGCTGTACTTGGAGTTGGAGAGGCAAGGGCAACAGGACACCCTGCCTCTAGCCCCTGGCAGTCCCCTTTCTACTTCCTGTCTCTGTGACTGTGATGACTTTGGTGCCTCCTGGTAAATGGGATCATACAGTCTATCTGTATTTGTATGACTGGTTTATTTCACCAGCATGGCGCCCTCAAGTTTCATCCTTACTGTAGCATGCACCAGAGTTTCCTTCTTTTTTAAGGCTGAGCAATCTTCCACTGCATATATGTACTATATTTTGTTTATCCAAAAATTTGTCAATGGACCTGGGCTGTTCCCCCCTTTTACACAGCTGACCTTAGTTACCTTCACTCCATTCAGATAGAGGAACGGAGTCTACTAAAGTCTATGTGGATTTTGAGCGACTCAACTCCCACCCATGAGATTAGGGGAATGCACAAATAACACACTATGGGTATTATTGCCTACATAAAAATACTTTATTATATCAAGTCACCAATGCACGCTTACAGTAGGAAACTTGTAACAGGTAGAAGTGTCAAAGAGAAACTGTCTCTAATCCCTGCTCCCAGAGATAACAGGTGGGAGAAAGATTTAAAGATTTAAAGAAAGATTTAAAGAGAAAAGAACAAGATGGCAATGACAGCCTTCCCTAGAAAAGAGATAGCTGTGCTGCTTCCTTTGTAGTGGTGTGCTTGTGGAGGCCCACCAGGGGACAGACCCCTGTACCTGTGAGGGACAGAGACCCCAGACCCAGCCACTTCTGCTCGCTAGGGCCATAGAAGCCACTGAAGCTCAGGCCACATGGGTAAGGGCACAAGCCTTATGCAGTATTTGCAGAGGGATATTAGTTTGTAAATACATGAAACTGTACTCCCATAAAAGCCTGACAATTGTGCTCCAGTATCTGGTGTGTGGACAGAGAGGCTCCAGAGTGATGTGAGCATGGACAGAAGAGTGTGAACATGGGCTGCCTGTGGAGGTAGTTTCCCCTACCAGATCCCCTGGCCCTGCCATGTGAGGTCCCCCATTCTGGGAGAGCTTTCCAGAGCAGTCACCTCTGGGAACCCCCCCAGCCTTTCCCACCTCATTGCTGAGGCATTAGAGGGCCAAAATAAGCCAACCACATGCAAGAGATCTAGAAGGAAGCCGGGGAAATGCAAGGCAAGAGTGGAGTTCAGTGTGGCTCCAGGATAAGGGCAGCTGATGTCAGGGCAGTACTCTCCAAGGAGATGGGGATAAAGGTAATTCAATTTCTAATGAGTCTTTGAATTGAAACCTTCTGGTCTTTCCTCCCCCACACACCCTGGAACAGCTTGCTATAATAAATATGTCCTAGGAGTCATAGCACATCTATGATCACATCGAGCCCTTCCTACCACCTTTTCCCCAGTTGGCACAAGCCGTCTCTGCTATGCTGCGTGGCCATGGCACAGCCCTCAATGCTCAAAAGCTTGCACTGCACGAATGACCCGCATTTGCTCCCCACACCTGTCCTGGGAGGTAGGCAGGGCAGGGAGTGTGTAATCCCTGCATCAGGGGTAGCGAGATCCCAGTGGGGTAGAGTGACTTGGCCAGAATGCAAAGCCATATTTGCAAACTCCAGACCAGGTCTTCTCTCTTTCCAGGAGAGAAAAATATAGCTGTGTGACACAGCTGGGAGAGATAGAGGGTCACTGGTGATGTCTGGACTCCCTGCTGAGACATAGAGACATGGTGGGCTAAGGATGAGAATGATGGATTGAAGTGGCTTCATGAGTCTGTCAATAAACCAGTAACAATTCTGGCTCCCTCATGAAGGCGACTGTTTCACATTCTTAAAACATTCTCTTACCCATAGTCTCTGTCTGTCTGTCTCTCTTTTTGAAGTGTGGTTAAGACACACATAATCTAAAATTTAGTGCTGGCAGTATTTGCTGCTCTTAGAATATTATGCAACCAACCTCACTATGCTAGAACATTCTTCCATCCCCCAAAGGAAACCCTGCGCCCATGGTCTGTACTGAGAGTCAGTGGTAGATGTCTAGGTCGTATATACAAAGGGTCCCTAGCAGAAAACATCATGTCCTCCCAATAAAGAGGGTTGTTTTAAAAATAAAAAGGCTAATTTGATTGTGTAAACTTTTAAAGGTAATATATAATATGCTATCTTAGTGACAGGTGCTTTAAATCACATGCTTGGTACAATAATACATTAACTTAGAATGCTGCCTTCCCCAGTTCCTCCTGGTTGTCTACCCGCTCTGATGTTGGCGTCTGTCCATCTTATCACTAGGACCTTCCTGTGTTGGCGTTCCATGTCTGCACCTCATCACTGCCCTCTCCACCTGTCCAAGGAGGGTAGCTACTTCTTACTAATCCAGAATCTGTCCTTTTAAAAATAACAGCTTTTTAAAAATATGACTCACACATATAAAATTCATCCTTTAAAAACATGCAATTTGGTGAATTTTAGTATATTCACAGAACTGTGCAAACAGCTCCACTACGTAAATCTGGAACTTTTTCATTGCTCCAGAGAAAACCCGGTGACCATCATAAATCTCTCCCTGTTCCTTCCTCCCCAACTCCTACTCTACTTTCTGCCAATGTGTTTCTGTCTCTGTAGATTTCCCTGGATAGCTCCTACAAACACATTCAGTATGTCACTTTTTGAGGCTGGCTTCTTTCACTTAGCATGGTGTTTTCAAGGTTCATCCATGTGGCAGTCTCCATCCATTTTTTAGGGCTGAATCATATTCCATGGTCTGGACATACCATCTTTCATTCATCTATTTATCAGCTGATGAACATTTGGGTTGCTTCCACCTTCTGGCTACTGTGGTTAATACCTGTATTCTTCTGTTGTGGTGAGATGTTGTGGTAAGATGGGGCAGTGAGGCCAGAGAGATAGGGACACCAGTGCCTTTCCTTATTTCGTTGTCAGCATTGCCTGGAGCAGTGCAGCTGGCTGACTCTGGGGAAGAGGCTGGGGACAGCCCAGGATCCCTGCTCTTCTGGCAAGCCTCTCGAGGGCTCTTAGTTCATCTTTCACACTTCTGTGTCTCTAAGAGACAAAGATGCCCATTTGCCATTGGTGCATGGTCCTAAGAGCCCTTTCCTGGGCTTACTCAGTATCAGCGGAGAGACGGAGCCTTGCAGAGTCCAGCAGCAGCCCTGCTATGCCAGATCCCTGAGGCTGCGGGGACCAGGGCTGAGGTTTAACCACAGCCAGCCCAGGCCTGCCTCCTTCTGAGGGGAAACCAGATGCCCTCTGGAGCCCTGGATCCTTTCCGACCTGCACTCCTGGACCCGATGAAGCTTAGTCTGGTGTGCTTCCTCCTGATGCCAGCAGGTGAGTGGCACCTTCACCAGGTAAGACTTCATCTCACCTCTGAGCACGCACAGGCTGTGTGGAAGAGCCACCTGCAGGTGACTCATTCCCATGGTCTCAGCTGCATGGAACTTTAGAGGTCACTGGCCTGATGGCTGATCCACAGGGAGAAAGCAGAGGGGATATCTGTGTCACCTTAAATGTCCCAAGCCTCTGTGTTTGTTATCTGCAAAATGCAAACAGTACTGTGGACCTCCCAGGGCTATTGAGGAGATGAGGGATGCCTGGGCCTAACACCTGGGCTGTGGTCGGCACTTGGGCCACTCATGGTGGCATTGCCATTGCTGCTCTGTTTGTCCCAGATTGCACTGTTGGCTTTCTGGATTTTACTCAGGCAGCAGAGCCCTGGAGTGCTGGCACTGTTTGTAGAACACAGTAAGAGGCGACGTGCACCATCTTATCAGATGGTTTCACAAAGCTTTATCCAGCTGATAAGTGGCAAATACCAGAGGTTTAAGAAAATGCAGGGAGATGCCCTAAGCGTGAGAGCCATTAGTAGGAAGTGACAAATGAGTGGGAAGTCACTCACCACCGCAGGTGACACCCCTCTCCCCTGCAGCTTGTCACTTGGAGACCAGGCATCTCCTCACTTGGAGATCCTCGGTGCAGGGCTGCATCTCCCTCTATGTCTGAGTACTATTCTACCTGCTGTTCCATGGCTGCAACCCTTGTTCCCTCACTTTCTTACCTAATGTGACAGAGGTGTTGGCATTTAGTGAGTGCTGACTGTGTGGCATTCTACCGCTGACTTAAGCCAGCGACGTAATGACAGACATCATTTCATGAACACTTACCAGAGTTTGTGATGGCGTCTGGATTCGAATCCTCATTTAACAGATGAGGAAACTGAAGCTTGGTGAGGATCGGTGCCTCTGCTTCGATGGGAAGTGGAGACCAAGCCACATGCCTACCTGCTTGACCTCACCAAGACCCCTCCTCTTCTCTTCACCTCACAGTGTTCGCACAGCGAGGCCTCCACACCCAGGCCGAGGACCGCCTCTTCAAACACCTCTTTGGAGACTATAACCGCTGGGCACGGCCAGTGCCCAACACTTCAGATGTGGTCATCGTGCGCTTTGGTCTGTCCATCGCCCAGCTCATTGATGTGGTATGCCTATCTTTCACCCTGCCCCTCTATGGGATCAGCCCCCAGCCCATCCAGGCCCTCTCTACAGTCCTCCCAAGCCCCAGCCCACCTCAGTTACAGCACAGCTCTGAGGCCACCCTTCCTGGGCTGCCATAGCTCCTGCCCTTTAGCTCAGGGGCCCCTCCTAGAGCACTGGGTGGCAGCTGAAGGTTTTTCTAAACACACATCCAGAGGCCCCCAGTGATTTGTGGGACCCTGAAGAATCTGGATGTTAGTGTCAGGGTGGGGGTGGCTGGGTTTGTGTGTCACATAAGAGGTTTTTCCTGTGAATAGAGCCCTGAAAGCCCCATCTGTGCACCCTTTCTTCTGGGCTGGTTCACCACTGTAATTGTTCTTACTGTCTCCACTTCTGGCCAGGATGAGAAGAACCAAATGATGACCACCAAAGTCTGGCTAAAGCAGGTGAGGGGCAAGAATACACCGGCTCCAGCCCCTCCTAGGAAAGTTCCTCCTGGGATCTTTTGCTACCCAGGGGCCAAGGAGCAGCAAGGTTCTGAGTTTATGGTCCCCAGACAGTGCTGCTTGGGGCGTCCTGGGCCAGCTGCTTGCAGACAGCCTCTTCTATGCGGCTAGCTCTCGTGTGACCAGGTTTGGAGTCCACAACCTGAGAATGTCACCCCTACACCCATAAGAGCCAAGTGACCCCTGTCCTGGAGGCAGGTATTTCTGTCCTGGAGTCAGTTTGCACGGCAGCTCACTGAATTGTAACCATAGCCACCTGGGGTTTTATTTTGCCGATTTTACAGCTGAGGAAAGCAGAGCACAGCTGGGCCAGAAAAGGGGGTGGCCAAGTGTGTTTGGCTCTGAGCCCCAGGCTCTTTGTACCAGATAATGCTCAGTGTTCAGCGTCTGTGCTGCCTGACAAACGACCCCAAACCTCATGGACTTTAAGCAATGCCCAGTCTATCACATCCCATGTCTTTGTGAGCAGGAGTTTGGGTGACTTCCTCTGCTTTGCATGGGACTACTAGCGTGCTCTGAGCACCTGGCCAGTGTCTAGTCTGCTCGGAAGGGTCTACGATGGCTTTCTTCACACATCTGTCCCTCAGCAGGGGTGTTTGGAAGGCTCTGGAAGGTTCTGGAAAAGTGAGCCTGGGTGGGCTCCTTGACTTTTCCAGGCACTCTCGGGGTCTTCCCTGGGGTCCCCAGCAAAAGAGTCAGATTCTCACTGGTGGCTCAAGGCACCCAAAGTGAGGATCCCGAAAGACAGGAAGTACAAACTGCTGGTCTTTTATGGCCCCAAACTGGTGCAGCATCAATCCCGCTGTATTCTATTGGTCCAGGCAGGGGAGCCCAGCAGGACGTAGACCCACCTCTTGATGGAAGGAGCGCCTAGGTGCAGATGGAAGAGGTGGTGGGAGAATATGAGAAGGAGGAGCTAGGCTCTGCCCACAGCTTCCTCTCCCTGCCTGGGGATGGTGGGAGGTGGAACCTGACCATCCATTTCAGAGGTGCAGTAAACCACAATGGTTAGAATGTTGGTTGACCTCTGTTTGAGTCCTTTGTATTTATTTATTTATTCATTCACTCTTTCACTCAATATCTCACTATGTAGCCCAGGCTGGCCTCATGATGCTCCTGCCTTGGCCTCCTGAGTGCTGGGATTACAGACAGGTACCACTATGCCTGGTGCGTTCCAGTCCTATTGAATAGGTGCCTTGATCTCTCTAGGCGTCCCACCTGTAATTGCTACCTGTGGCCTTGGATGGTGTTGGGCTGTGTGCCAGCTACTCAGTTCTGAATTAGATGCTTGGGTGAGAGGCTTTGAGCAGGTTTCTACTGATGCCGTTCACCCCGGAGTCATTAGGAGGTCACAAGGCTCATCTTTACAGATGTGCCAACTGGGGATCACAGCAAGGAAGGGACTTGGAAAGCCACATAGTCTTGTGTGTGGGGGGGGCGCTAGAACCTCAGTCCCCGGAGTTGTCCCCATGGTCTGGTCACTTGGGTCAGGGGTCAGGGTAGGAGGTGAGGAGATAGTACCACAGTGGGAGCCAGGCCACCCATTGGTGCCTCAGAGTAGCCCGAAAGGCTGTCAAGTTACAAACCTCTCAGAGCCTCACTTTCCTCACCTGCCAAGTGGGGTTGATACAATCTACTATGTTAATGTGCCCCAACTCGATGCAGGTGTCCCCACATGTTGGCTGAACCTGAAAACCTGAGAGGTAGACTAAAGAGAGAATAAGAACCCAGTTTTGAGGAAGAAAACCTGATATGAGTGGATCTGCTGGGCAGGGCACACAGCACCCACTCCATGCCAGGGGCCCTGGGCGGGGAGGTCTCTGGAGCACTTTTTTTTTTTTTTTCGTGGTAGTGGGGTTTGAACTCAGGGTCTCCTGATTGCTATGCAAGCACTCTACTACTTGAGCCACAGCCCAGCCTGGAGGGATCTAAACCCCTCTTCTCCACTGTATACCCCTGGAGGTTGTTTTCCCTCTGTCTGTCCTCATTGTCCTTGTCTGTAAAATGGGGGAATGTTTGCAGCAGCACAGCTTCCCCAACAGCCTCCCCAGGGAGGCTCTTCCTAGATGAAGGTGTATAAACGCTTTGTGACCTGAGATGCATGGGAAACGAGTGACTTCACTACAGATGCATGAAGTGACCCACCAGTTGTTCACTTGGGGAGAGGCAGAATGAGGACCAGAGTCCAGGCTAGAGGGACAAACATGCCGTACCCCTAACTTTGGCTACTGAAGTCAGGACAAAGCAAGGGGATTGGTTATCTAAGTGTAATTTGCCTGATTCCTAGGTCAGAGCCCTTTCCTGGCATGGCAGCCCCTGCTATTCTGTGGGGCTGGATGAAGGGAGATCTTGGGGCCCAGAATTCACAGCTTTGCACAGTGATGAGATCCCTCCCCACGCACAGGAGTGGAACGACTACAAGCTGCGCTGGAACCCAGTGGATTTTGGCAACATCACCTCCCTCCGGGTCCCGTCGGAGATGATCTGGATCCCCGACATTGTCCTCTACAACAAGTAGGAAGCCTGGGAGGACCTGGGGGCCTGGGCAGGAGCTGGTAAAGTGGACTCGGGGGAGGGGCGCCCCCTGGTGTTCAGCTTCAGAATTTCCTTCTAACGCACCTTTATTTCTTTGATTTTGTTCTCTCACTTGTGTACGCTAACGTTATTGAGCACCTAGTGTGTGCCAGAGTATTAGTTGGACAAAAGTTTGCCGATTCTGAGTATTCTTTGAAAAATGTGATACTGGCTCCATAAAAATTCCTAAGGGTTTTAAAAGATGACAGTATTGTTGAAACCGGCAAGAATAGGGTTGCCCTTCAAAGGGGACATATTCAACTAGTATGGTTTTTTCTTTAATTATGTTATTATAATAACAGAATTCAGGACCAAAAGGAACCAACTGATCATAACAATTAGAAGCTAATATAAGGCAGGAAACAGTCTAAAGAGAGTCCCAGTGGACAAAAATGAATTCATTAATTAAAATAAGTTTTTGATATAAGAAATTGAAATCTAAAAAAAAACAAAGAAAGAAAGAGAAATCCATACTTTCAGTTGTGTTTGATATCAGGTAATTCTTCACTGAAAAGTTGAGAAGTTAAAATTTGGAAGATGGGTTCATGCTTGTCTAAAAATACATTTTTTAAAACAGGGCTTTAGGAAGCACTACTACTTCCTTGAGACATGAATAAGGATGAAGAAGTTTTGGGGTCACATAATTTTGGATAACATTGTCTGTCAAACAGCCTCTCCCCAGGCCTCTGGAAAACATCAGAGCACAGTAGCATTTGAGAGGCCATTGGAAGTCCAGTGGCATAGAAACTCAGCAAGCCTGGCATTCACCAGTCCATAGGATTCTACTTTGAAAATGCTATTTTTAAACAATAAAATAAAGGGGAGGATCACTTCTGAATTTTGTGCCTCCAGATAGGTCATAGGGAATCAAAAAGAATTCCTTATACTGTCTGGTTCTAGGCAGGCCTGGAGCCCTCTTGCTTAAGCCATCTCTGCAAACACACATTTATCACAGTTACCTGGCAGGTGCAACACGGCAGGTGCCTCCTGTCTGCTGCTGCTGTGGGACTCCCAGCCCCAACCCTATGTACTGGGGAGCTGGTACCTAGGATCCTTCTAGTTTCTGCTTCCTGTGCAGAGGTCAGAAGCAAAGTCCTATGGTAAGATAAAACCTAGAGTTTAAAGACTAACAATAAGCTTTGGCCAGTGTTGATTATTACAAGAGATTCTTCTGATGGGACAAAGGCTAGTCCAGACTCTGGAAGACATTTAAAGAAGGGTCTGTTCTACTTCTGCATGCTGTTCCAAGTTCATAGGCAAAGGATGGAGGAAGTTACATCATTCCTTCCCCAAAATGGGAGTGTTGCCACCTAGTGGTGATTGTGTAAAATGACCAAATGCCTATTATTATTATTAATTATTTACCGGCCTCAAATTTATAATCCTTTTGCCTCAGCCTCCTGAGTACTGGGGTTACGGAAGTGAATCACCATGCCTGGCTTTTTTCCCTAATTTAAACTTTTGCCGGGAGTGTTTGTTACTCTCTTTCGATGTTCCTGTTTCCAGCAGGCCTGTACCTCTACCCCGGAACTACTGTATGGGAAAAAATTTTCTCTCCTCTCATGTGTTCTGGTTCCTGGGATTTAGTGTTGCCTGTGGAAATTGTAGGGGAAAGGATGGGGCTTAAAGACTGCATTGCACCACTACCCAGGGTTTGTCAGGGACTCAGGCTTCCAGAACCCTGCCTCCCTGGTCACCATTGTTCCAGTGTCCCCAAAGTCCCAGTGTGGGTCTTTGATAGCCCAGTTCCATGCTGCCACCAACTTCATCTCCCACCACCCCAACTCATGTCCTGCCCTGCCGATCCCAGCGCACCCTGTAAGTTTTGCACCTGGACTGACCTGTTCCTGTTCTTTCACGATCTTTGCTGCTATGCTCTACTCAGATGTCTCAGCCAAATCCTACCATTCTTGGTCAAGACCTTGTCCTAATAGCAGCCATCCCCACGACCCTGCTTGTCCCAGTTAGAAAGGCCACTGCCCCTGGAATCTGGGAAGCATCCCAAACACCGTCATAGTGTTGTCGTCAAACTGCCTCCCCTATGGTGAGGTCATCGGTGACTGTATTATTTCCTGGTGGTCCCTGCCTCATGTTTCTAGAGGCCCTGGGTGAGGCTGGCTTTAAAATGCACATTTAATACGTGGGCTCCTGGAAGCTTCTTCACCAGCCAAAATGTTAGATCTCTTCCGAACAGGAAATGAACACTCCAGGTGGAAAGTTATGAACCTCCACTGCGGGGCTGACTCGCCATTTGCTGGTGAGAGAAAATACACTCAAAAATCATCACTCTAAAATTAAATGATAGAAATAGGCAATCAAACTACATATATAACCCATGATCCCAAATATGTAAAACTATTGATATAGAATCTACGTGACAGTCAAATATATATGACACATATAACGCCAAAATGTTAATAATGGTTACTTTGAAAGTTTTTGGTGTGCTCCATCTCCTTCAAAATTCCCACTTTTGCAACTGAAACAACGATATTTGAAAAGACAACTCAGGTATGTCTGTCTGTTGGAGCATCTCATACAATTGCGTGAAAGGTGCCACTTGGCCAGTGGATAAATTACTGTTGTTGGGTTGCCTGCGTGTGCAGGACCCCCAGCTCCTCTCCTCTCCCCTCCCCTCCCCAGTGCAGATGGGGAGTTTGCGGTGACACACATGACCAAGGCCCACCTCTTCTCCACTGGCACAGTGCACTGGGTGCCCCCGGCCATCTATAAGAGCTCCTGCAGCATCGACGTCACCTTCTTCCCCTTCGACCAGCAGAATTGCAAGATGAAGTTCGGCTCCTGGACCTATGACAAGGCCAAGATCGACCTGGAGCAGATGGAGCAGATGGTAGACCTGAAGGACTATTGGGAGAGTGGCGAGTGGGCCATCGTCAATGCCACGGGCACCTACAATAGCAAGAAGTACGACTGCTGTGCGGAGATCTACCCCGATGTCACATACTACTTTGTCATCCGCCGGCTGCCACTCTTCTACACCATCAACCTCATCATCCCTTGTTTGCTCATCTCCTGCCTCACCGTGCTGGTCTTCTACCTGCCCTCCGAGTGTGGCGAGAAGATCACACTGTGCATCTCGGTGCTGCTCTCGCTCACTGTCTTCCTGCTGCTCATCACTGAGATCATCCCATCCACCTCTCTGGTCATCCCGCTCATCGGGGAGTACCTGCTCTTCACCATGATCTTCGTCACGCTCTCCATTGTCATCACAGTCTTCGTGCTCAATGTGCACCACCGCTCCCCCAGCACCCACGACATGCCCCGCTGGGTGCAGTTGGCCCTGCTGGGCTGTGTACCCCGATGGCTGCTGATGAACCGGCCCCTGCCACACCTGGAGCTCCAGGAGCCCCGGGGCCTGAAGCTCATTCCCTCTTATCACTGGCTGGAGACCAATGTGGATGCTGAGGAGAGGGAAGGAGAAGAGGAGGAAGAGGAGGAAGACAGATGGGTGTGTACCGGCCACCCAGCCCCCTCTGTGGGTGTCCTCTCCACCCGTGATGCCCTACACTTGGGAGTCTCAGGGCCCAAATCTGAGGCTCTGTCATCACAGGAGGGTGAGATCTTGCTGTCACCTCGCATACAGAAGGCACTAGAGGGCGTGCACTACATCGCTGATCACCTGCGGTCTGAGGACGCTGACTCTTCGGTGTGTTGGGACTGGGTGAGGGTTCCCTCCCTGGGTGACTCTGTCAGCTTAGCAGGGAACATTCTCACCTCAGGGCATTGGCTCATGCCAACCCAGTCCCCTTCCTTGAAGACTGGTCTTCCTCACGGCCCTGAGGAGTCTGGACTCAACCGTGAGAGAGATGTCTAGTTGACAGCTCTGTGGATACTTACTGGCTGTTGGCAGAATACCATGAGGTCGAGAATGTCCCCAGCTCAGCCCAACTGAGAGACAGTGAGCAGGGAGGGAGGAGTTCAGACCCTGGTCTCTGTCATATCCTCCTTTCACTACCGCCTCTAGGAGGTGGGGGTGGGCGAGTGGAAAGACAGACTGCGTCAGCCCTGCACTGGTGGCCTCCCCCTGTGCTGGAGGGTCTCCTCTTCTCCTTGCTTATGGGCTCTGGGCATTTCATGTATGTCACCATTCATCATAAACCTTACAGGCTCTTGGTTATACCGAGTGGGCTTTTCTCTCCTTCTCTGTTGTATACCGAATTCAGTATCAGGATTCATCTTATCAACACAGGAAGGTTGTTACTAGGTGGCCTTGCTGAGTAGATGACATTAACTACTAATGGGAGCTGGTAGGAATCTAAACCTCCTTTGCCTGGGCTCTGAGCCCAAACCCCATAAAACCCACTCCCCACTCCCTCCTGCCCCGGGTTGCACCTGTCTTAACCTACCTCTTTTTCCTGCATATCCTGCAGGTGAGTGGGGGAGGCAACATGGGGCAGCACAGACCTCTGTAACTGTACCTGCTGAGCGCTGCTTTTAAATCACTCAGACCCCAGGAGGGTTCATGCCCCTAGGTGGTTCCAGAACCTCTGCTTCTTCTAGCCTCCTGAACCTGGCAGCAGAGAACTCTGGGCTGGGATAGGACAAGGATTCTAGGAAAGGGTTGTATGAGCCTTGAGCTAACCTTGCTTCTCCCTGCACTCACCTCTCCGCCTCCACTGACCTTGGCCTTTCAGGGTTTCAGTGGGGTGATTGCTGCTGCCCTGCAGTCATCCCTACAGCGGCTGGGCATGGGAAGGGCACTTCCCCTTCCCAAGCCTGGCCTCTCTCACCGTGAGCCCATTTCTACTTGCAGGTGAAGGAGGACTGGAAATATGTTGCCATGGTCATTGACAGGATATTCCTCTGGTTGTTTATCATTGTCTGCTTCCTGGGAACCGTCGGGCTCTTTCTTCCTCCCTTTCTGGCTGGCATGATCTGACCTCAAGTCCCTTGTGTTGGCTCCAAGGTGGAGTTGCCAAGCATCTTCTGACCATCTTTAACTGTGGCTGCCTCTGGTGTATCCTTTGGAGTGAGCATCTTCTGCTTGTGGTGCCTCTGTGAAGCCCTAAACTGGTCCAGTCATAGAAGCTTTCTTGAGACAGTTGTCTTGACATTACTGTGGCACCCATTGAGACTGCTGGACTGGAAGCCCTGTTCTGGACACTGAGGAGCTAGAAAAGATGCAGTAATTTGCTCTCCAGAAGCATGCAATATGACTGTGTGACAATGTGAGGAGGAATGAGATGCTCCTGGAGGAGCTAGGAGCACCCTAATGACAGTAGGGTCATGGGAATGGAGTGTGGGACCAGGACAAAGAGAAACAGAAGACGCCCTCAAGGAGGAGCACCTGGGGAAAAGGGGAGGGCAGTATGTTAGGGAGAAAGCCAGGCTGAGGTGAGGGAGGCTGAAAGGCAGGTGGGTGTGTCTTTGAACCAGGCTGAGAGGACATTCAGAGTCACTCAGGGTACAGGGAGCCCAGAGAATCAGGCCTCTCCCAAGCTCCATTCAGCCCCGAGGGCCAACCTCAGCTAATAGAAGTGAGCACTAGGCTCTCCAGAAAGTGTAGAGACCCCGAGCAGGAAGTAGAAAAGGGCAAGCTTCTGGTTTCCCTTCAGTCTTGCAGTCCCCTCCTCTGAAACCCACACATCTCTCCCTGTCAAACCCAGAGGAGACCTGTCCACCTGTGACCTTGGCTCAGGCCCTGCTCCTCACTTCTCTCCCGAGATCCCCATTCTAGCCTCAGCTCCTCCCTCCCCTCGCAGTCCTCTGCCTCCTCTCCCCTCTGGGGCTTCCAGATGTGATCTGATGCAGGGATGTTTGCCATGTTATTCACCTGTCCTGTCCACCTTGCATGTAAGTAAAGTGATTAAATAAAGCTGAGTCTGTTGCTCTCAACAGTGTGACCCCTCTTTGCCAGCCACACCTCAGTGTCATCAGGCAGTTTTAGGGAGAGTAAGAACAGAAATGTCACATTGCCCTGGGTCTGCCTGGAAAGCTGCCTTTGGCTCAGGTGCCCTTGCTGCCCACATGGGAGCAAAGGGCAGGAGTGCATGCCTGACCCCACTGCCAGGTGTGTCACCATGTGCATTTCTAGGCTAAGGCCCTTGATCTGTGCCCAACATAAGCACAATCGATTTCTTCCAGGGCTGTGGTTCAAGGTCACCATTCTCCTGCAAAGGGCAGATCAAACAAACAATCAAACAAACCACAAAGCAAATGGCAATGATTTTAATTCAACCACAAGTCAAATAGAAAGAAGGTAGAAGAATGTTCTACACAAACACATGAGAAAGGGAGGGGGCAGAAGAGAAAAGGGGGGGAGGGAGAAAAAGAGGAGTATGAAAATGGGGAAAGTAAGCAAGAGAAGACAGATGCAGGAAGAGAGCAGATCACGGTCCAAATCCTGTTCTGGCCTCTGTCTCTCTGCTTCTTCCCCTAACGTGTGGTTTGATAACAGCACGGTGTCCTGTGCTTAGATTCCCAATTAGCTTGTTCCTGGACTATGTCCCAGGTCCTCCCTCAGGAGGGCCCATGCTGTCAGTCCAGACCAAACTCACATTAAATAAATTCCAATATACACTGTACAAGAGCTCCAAGCCCTTCCCTCATCTCATCAGCCTCCTGACCTCCAAAACAAAGCTCCTCCCAGGCCCCACTGTGCATCAGGGGACACTTGAGGTCTGAAGAGGAAGGAGAAGGGATAGCTTGGTTTCCAAATGGGGCCCACTATGTCCATGCATAAAGCCACCTTGGCTGCTGGGGGCACCACTGTGACCCCAGCGCCCAGGCTGGGGTGGAGGGAGTGGCTGGCAGCAGCGGTGCCCCCTCTGAGCTATACATCTCTCCCACCCCATGTCCATGTCCAGAGTCCCCTCCGTCCAGCTGCATCCCGAGCAGCACAGTCTGGGGTAGAGTGGGGAGGGGGGTCGTGCAAAGTGGCGAGGGAAAGGCTCCTGCCGGCCTTCCCCAGAAGACCACATGACCAAAGGCAAGGCAGGGGAGGTACACGACAGGTGGGGGTGGAAGATGCAGGCAGGTGCCCCCACCCTCAGTCACTCTGCAGGTGGGTGGGCCAGGTTGGCCTGAACCTTGGCCTGGTCCACGGCATCTAGCAGGTTCTTGGCGTCCACGGCCAAGGTGTGGGAGGCGGTGAGCATCTGCCGCTTGCACTCCTCGCTCAGGGAGGTCACAGCGTTCTGCTGGGCCAAACGCATCTTGTTGATGAGCTCTGCCAGGTCTTTGTTGAGCAGCTTCTGGGTCCCCTCAATCTGTGGGAAGAGCACATGAGAATTCGGGGTGCTCAGAAGGAGAGGGGTGCTGACTGGGGGAGGCAGAGGTTCTCTGGGGTCAAATCGGACCCAAGCCTGGGCTGAACGTAACTTTCTCTGTAGGCTGGAGCCGGGTCCGCAAGGATTGACACAGCACACGTCCCAGACTCCATTCAACCATGTGCCAGCAGCCTGAACCAGCCTGGCAGCATTCCCTCACATTGACTGACAGTCAAGTGTGTGGTCAGAGGTCCGATGCATTCACCATTTTTTAGCTGTCTGCTGTCAAGTCAACAGTTCAGGCACTATGTTCATTTTATTATTATAATCATTACCACTGTATCCCCAGCACCTAGCACATTCTGAGCACATAGTGAGAGCGCAGAGATATTTGACAAATGAAATAAAATGAGTAGTCGCCCCGAGAGCTCCCATTGGAGCTGAACTAGGAGATTCACTCTAGAAGCAGACCAGGGGTCAGGGGCAACCTCAGCCCTTTGGTGGGACCTGCCTGGATGGGGCTCCTCCGTGGGTTGTGGCTGTCACCCAGAGGGAGACTGGAAAATGTCCGAAACACCCCTGCCTTGGGCAGGCACAGACTGTACATGGTGACAATGATGAAATGTGCCTCATGGCTGACTACAGGAAGGCAGAGAATTGAAGGGATCCGTAGGAGGTCTACAGCTGGTTCCCAGATAGACAACTGATCTGTTTCCTAGGGCCATAACAACAAACTGCCACCAACTTAGTGACATAAAACAACACTGTCTTATTCTCTTATAGTTCTGGAGCTCAAAGTCTAAAATGGAACACAAGGTTACGGACAAGGAGTCAACAGGGCTGCAGTCTTTCAGAGGCCCTAGGAGAGAGTCTATTCCTTGCCTTTTCTCAGTGCCGAGGCTGTGAGTTCTGGCTTCTGGCCCCTTCCAGCAACACCACTGCAGCCTCCAGTAGCAGCATTACTCCAACTTCAGCTTCTGTCATCACCCTCCCCTTCTATCTGACTCTGCCCTTCTGTCCCCCTTTTATATGGACCCTCTGGCTACATGGGTCCCACCTGGACTACCCAGCATCACTCCACCTTACATCTGCAAAGCCCCTTTTACAATGCAGGTTCTTGGATATGGACATTTGGTGGGGGGGTGGAATTACTTCACCTGCCATGGGTCCCATTCCAACAGAACACTGAGACTGCCATCTGGATGGCAGTGGTAGTTTGCTATTTCACTGACAGAGTACAGAGGGTGACTAGGTAAGGGAAGTAGGCAGGGAAAAAGGAAGGTGCACCCTTTCTTGTATATCTTCATTCAAGAAGAATTCAGTGCAAACACCTAAGACCTGAACTAGGAAATTCACCCCAGAAACTGGCCAGGTCTCTGGAGGCCACTTCAGTTCTCTAGTGGTGGCTGCTCAGATAGGCTGTAAGAGCCACCTGCTGGGAACTCAGCAGATACAAATGAGGCCACCCAGGTGGCTCCAGTGGGAAACACAACTAGGGATAGCATAGAGGCATAGGGGAGAAGTGACAGATACGGCACTGTCTGGGACGAGGACACTCACCTCTGTCCTTGAAGATGATGGCAAGGAGGGCAAGAGGTCGTCCACACTCCCAATAAGCTTCCGCAGAGTCAGCCCCACGTTCTGGGAGAGCAAGGTCCAGGGTAGTCGTTACCTTTTGCTTTTGGAGAGAGTCTCCCCTCCCCCAACCCGTCCCCAGCCACAGCACTCCTGGGATGGCACTTGCCCTCTGAGGATGTCTGTCACCTGTCTCCCTGGAGTCTGCTGGGCTAGTTTACAAGGAGGTGCAGCCTCCTTTCTTCCAGAGCTGGGATGCACAGCCCCCACCTCCCCGATCCCACTCCTGCCCTCCCAGTCACCTTCACCACCACCACGTAGCCCTCGGGGGGCAGCTGGCAGAGCTCATTCTTGAGTTCCAACACTGCCCGCACCAGCTCCATGACGTTAAGGTACACCATGTCATCAGTTCGGTCCAGGTTGGCAGTGGGCTGGATGGACTGGGGAGAGACAGATGGCTGGGACTCTTGGGGGATCCAGTAGGACCCTACGATGGCTACCATTTATTCCTGGGCAGGCATGCTTCCAGGGCAGTGGTTCTCCATTGGGAAGCTCTACCAAAATATTGGTGGTGGCCTCACACTGTCTTTTGGACGCTCCTTGGGTGATTCTAGTAAGTAGCCAACATTGAGAATCACGGTTCCAGAGTAAAGAAAACCAGTGCCACCTACACTATTGCAAGGACAATGGGGTGCCATTTGTCAAGTGGGGAGACTCAACAAAGGAGGGGCCACACCCTTTACTCCCTGGGTCACACCAATAACCTTTCCTGCAGGTCAGGGGCCAGGGCACTAGAGGTTGGTCCTTCCTGCTTTTTCATGAATTAGCTTTGTGACCTCAGGCAAGACACATCTCCTCTCTGGGCCTTATCTATATAATGAGGACACTGGACTGGATTATTTATAAGGGCCTTTGAAGTTCTCAGAGCCTATAGTCACCAGTCTGGTAGAATTCTAACTTGAATTCACCCCAGCTTTGGTAGAGCTGACATACCTGTGCGCCCAGCCGCGGTGGCTTCTGTGGGGGCCCTGTGAACTCCGCTGCAAAGGGAAGGGCAGTGAGTGAGCATGGTGTTTTTCTCTTTCCCTCTTTTCTTACCCCCAGGAGACCTCAAGGATAGAAACCCAAATTCCAGAATGGCAGGAAAAATAGCATCCTGGTTTCCCTGGTTTCCCAGTGGTCAGAGACAAGCTCTGTTGTCCATTGTACAGAAAGAAAAAGTCAAAATCTCAGCAGAGACACAGTGAGTGCTTGAGAGTCCCAGCTCTGGCTTATGCTTCCTCCCAGTTGAACATGGCCTTGACTGTGGGAAAGAAACTGGACACTCTGCAGGCACAGAGGCAGCTCATGGGTAGATTTGTGAGGTAGATCCATAATGGTCTGCCATGCTTTGCACTCCACCTGGCTCTACTCTCACCTCTACCACTCAGGAGTGCATACACTCCCTGGTTCTTAATTTTTATCTGTAAGATAAGAGGGCTAGACAAGAAGGGACCTTGGAGTCACTCTGCCTGCCCTCAGATCTGAGCTGTGCTAAATTAGTCACTGTGTGTGACACTGGGCAAGTTGCTTAACCATCTTGTGCCTCAATTTCATCCTTTGTAAAATGGAGACAAATTGTACCTGCCTCATGGGGATGTTCTGACATTAACTGTGTTCACGTTTGTGAGTGACTTAGGGTTGAACCTGGCTTGTGTTAAGTTCTCTGTGACTATTGTCATTGCCATCATCGTCACACTGTCAGCAGCACCACCCCTCTTCCTTTCCCTCTTCCTAGGGAAAACCAGAGGAGCTAGGAGAGGTAGGTGGAGCTATTTAATGTTCCTTCACAAAACAGAAAGGGAGAGTGGATCACTGACTCCTCCGAACAAATGCAGATGGGAGATGAACGAAGAATAGAAGTGAACGACTGAGACAGATGAGAAAAGGTACAAGGCAGGCAGCAAGTGACAGGCTGGGTGAAGCACAGGGGGAGAGTTCTGTCCAAAGCTGACCCTGTCTGCACATTCAGATGAAAACAAGGCAGATGGCTCTTAGAATCACAGATCCATGCTGCCCTTGCAGGGTAGGGAGCAAGGACAGGGGACCCACACAGACAGATTCCCCAAGAAAGAGCAGAAATACTCACTGTAGCCAGCCTCCTTCTCTGGGGTCTGCAAGAAAGGGAGGAAAGAGGTCAGTCACTCCTGTGGCTCTGAGGACCACCCCGTCCCCCTTACTGCCCTCCACTGTGTATTTAGAGATTGTAGCCATGTGCTGAGGACAAATGACATTCTGAGACACCAAGGTAGCTAGAATCCCATGAGTGCTCAGGAAAAGAGCTGCATGAGTGGCTTCCCAAGATGGGAAGAGACGGACAGACCCAGGGAACTGGTATAGGGGTCCTGGGGTGGGGGCGAGGCCCTCCCAGGCCTTGGGTCTAAGAAGAGGCTTCTCTGGGAGACTTACCAATGGGGACTTGTCATTCATGTAAACCATGGGATCCTGTAGAGGAGAAGATCAAGGCAAAGACTTAGAGTTGTGGAGCCAAAAGCTCAGAGAATGTATGATAAGCATTGGCTCCAGTCGGCAGGGAGGCAGACAGGACACAAATAGACCCATGATAGGGAAACTACCCCCAGTTCAGGGCTGGCTCACCAAGGATTTCTCCTCCTGCCTCAGCCACTGGTAATCTTCTACCATTTGCTTCTGCTGCTTGTCCAGGATTTGACGCATCTTGATCTTCTCGGCCTCCCAGAGCTGCTGGGCCTCTTCTCGGCTACTGGGTCGGATGAAGTCCTCCTCCTGGCAGGACAGATGCAGTGAGCCCCATCCTCAGACTCAGGGAAGGGATGATCTCTGAAGAACCCCGGGGAAACCCAAAGCCTTGACTTCAACAGCTGCTCTTTTTTCTCTTGTAGGTTTGTTCTTAAACCCCACCACCACATGGGTAAAGAGTTATTGTCAGGTCTCAGCCTCCTGCATAGACCTGGCTGCAAAGGGATGCCAAAACTCCAAAACACACAGTTCATCATGCACTGTATTCAAGTTATCACGTGATCTGTCAATGACATTTTAATTTCAAGTGACTGCCCTAATATTATTATCTCAATTGGCACTGTGATGGTTGCTGTTATTGATTTAGAAATGCAAAGCCAGCCCCAAACCCTTTGGCTTTTGTCATGGTGGCAGGTCTGGAAGCTTCCAGGGGCAGTGATGGTGCTTCTGGCTCCATGGATGTGCCTATCCATTCACCATGCTGTTCTATGAAAATGTACCTTTTGTTAAGATAATTGCTTGGGTGATTTAAATGGATGTTAGAAGATATGTATGAGCTAAGAAAGAAGATGAAGAACAAAATTTAAAGAAGTATAGCTTTATAGATATAAGATAAGGGCTTCTTCTTGCCAGCTTTATTAACCTAACCCTTGTTTTCACTCACCTGTGTGGCTTTGGACCTATTCTTAGTTTTAGCTGATCAAGGGTGTTGATGTTTTGCTGTTTTCCTTCAATCTCTCCAGAATTGATTTGCATAATTATCTTCTTGGCCCCTCCTAACTATTTTGCTTTTATTCTACTGCACCTGATCACCTTGGCCTCTGGACTGATGGAGGGAGAGTGTTAAGGGAATCCTTCTGATCGCATAAGGCCCAGGGTGGCCTTTGCCAACAATAGGGTTCTTCTATGACATGAAAGCTAGTGGGCCCCTCAGATCTGGCTATGGTTTGAATATTCCCCAAAGTTCATGTGTTGGAAACTTAATCCCCAGAGCAGCAATGTTGAGAGGTGGGGCCTTTAAGAGGCAATTAGGCCACAAAGGCTCTGCCTTCATGAACACGAGGGTTAATTATCACGGGAGGGAGCTCTGATCAGTGGATGACCTTTTCCTTATGCTCCTCAGCCCTCTCTCACCCATGTGACGCCTTCTGCCATGTGAAGACATAAAGAAAGACCTCACCAGATTTGGCCCTTGATCTTGGCCTTCCCAGCCTCCAGAACTGTACGAAATCAATTTCTGCTGGTTATAATTTACCCTCCTCAAGTATCCTGCTGTAGCAGTACAAAATGGATTCAGACCGCTCCTTTCCTTTGATGTGATTAGTTTAGATACAATTCAGTTAAAGAAAATGCTAAAAACTCATCTCTATGTACTTTTAGCAAGCCATAATCTCTGCCAAGTCTCTTGAAATAGTTTCCTACTAAACCCTATAAATCATACTTGAATATTATAATACCGTTTAAAAATAGTTCTTTTGGGATGCTTCTCCTAGTGCCTATTGAGCTTCAATCACCAATCTCAGTTTCTAGCAATACTTTTCCTAACCATTTAGGTTTCTTGCTGAAATATTGTTTGTTCATTAGTGTTTTCAATAACTATTTATTAAGCAGCTGCTGCATGCAGGCATGGGTCTGGGTGCTAGGAGAAGTGACTTCTAAATACACACTGTATCTCTTTTTATAGGACTAAGTAAGCAATAGTTAGACCAGGGTTTTGCACTCCTACCCTGACACCATCCACCACGGTGTGATGTAGCTGAGAGGTCTTCACCAGAGCTGAGCAGATAAATGAAACTGGGAGCGACATAAAAATTTTTTGATATAAAGTACCCAGCCTCAGGTATCTTGTTATAAAAACACAAAATGGACCGGGCCACTGATGCTCCAAAATGAGGGACTACGAAGGCTGTAAATATGCCAATACTTGTGAACACAATGATAAGGCCGCCCCAGGCTACAGACAAATACTGGTAAGCAGCAATTAAGTGTACAAAGTTCTAAATACAGAGCTAGTATTTATAAGTGTAAGAACAATGCTTGAGCTAAAGGAGATTAGAGTAAATACAGATAGGAGGAGTTACTGAAGTCCAGAAGATACCATAGAGTCTTAAAGGTAAGAGAAGATTTCTACCACTTATATGCCTTGTGTGCACTAGGCCTGATCTGCCAAATATTTTAATAAACATATATTAGAAGACTTAGTGTGCTGATTTCTAATTTAATAATAAAACTAAAGAACAAAATGAGAACTTTAAAAACCTTGCACTTGTTTAGGCTGGTTTGGCTGAAATGCACCCTAGGTATAAGACACACATCTTAGAAGGAATAAGGTACTTGTGTTTTTAAAATAACTCACGAACTGTGACACCTTCCATAATTTACAACTCATCCTTTCAGTCTTATTTCCACCTCCACCTGTACTCCCCTTGTTCTAGCCAAACTTCTCTCACTTGCCTGTGGGTTTTTTTTCATCACTCAGTTGTGGCTTCTACTGTTGCCTCTGCCTCTTCCATCCCCCACCTCCCAGTTTCTTCCTGTCCAAATCATTCCCTCCTTCAAGGCCCAGCTGGGGAAAAAAAGCAGTTGGCAGGAGTTACTCTCTTCCTTGAACTCCCACTTCGGGCCCCACAACTTTCTGGCTCAGGTTATAGGTGAGCTGGCACCTGATCTGTTCCTTCTGACTTTAAGCTCCTTGAAGGCAAAACTGCTTATTCCTACTTCAGCACCTGGGACAGTGCCCCAGGTCCTCCATGCCCTCAGTACAGTCTATATAATTTTGTTATTGAATTGTGAGGTCTTCAGAAGGGAGATTGCTGCCATCCTGGCTGTGTGGCATCCCACAGACTCCCAGATGAGCCAGGCTTTAGTCAGTCAAGAGAAAATAGTTTGCTAAATGCTTTGCAGGGAGCCTTTTTCAGCATTCTACCTGGAAGAGGCTTTCTCAGTGTTTCTGATCTGTATCATACATAAATTGGAGTTTATATTTTTAACTTTTTTTGTTTATTTAAAGAAATGTTCATTGTGTTCTTTTCGTCAGATTTATCCGATAGCAATTACATCTAAACCCCGGACACAAAAGATCTTTTTTCCTGCTGCTCGATCTGTCTTTGTGGATTGAACAAAATGTTCCCAGTGGTGCAGGGCTTAGACAAAGGCAACTCTGCCCCTTAAATGTGCTAACCAGCTTCTTTCTAAAAGAACACATTTTTAAGTAAAGCTCCCTGAAATTTAATTATTATGAAAAAAGAGTTGAGAGAGGGTGGAGGAACTCGATACTGCTTAAATTATAGTACATGCTTAAAACTGCAGCTTGATTATTGTGAAGCACATGCAAAGAAAGAAATTGGTTAAATTAACATAAGAGAGAAAAATGAGGTAGGTTAGGAAGAATTTTATTTCACAGTAAATCTTGCTGCCTGGAATCTAAGTTATGCTCATTTCAAAATGTGTACTAAATTAAGAATAACAGCACAGAAGCGTATCAGCATAATTGCTGACACTTTCCAAATCTATTACAATAAACATGTACTCTTTCCACAAAAATTTTTAGAGTTATATATCCTGAGTCTGAGATATTATGCATGCGTACAGAACAAGAGCTAAAAGTCACAAGGATTTTAGTTGGTTTTGTAATAGAGTTTGGTTTAAAAAAAAAAAAAGGTGTTTTTTTTTCATGGCGACTGACCACCAGAGGTCATTTGTACTAAAGGAGATGGTTGGTGGCAAGTGGCCATTTGTACACAAGCAAAGGTGTTGTTTACATGAGACCTGACAATCCAGGTCCAGGAAGCCCTGAGGGCCTCACCAGCCTCTGATGACAAAGAGGTTGCAGGAGGTGGCCTGGCCCCCTCCATCTCCTTCAGAAGTGGGTAGCCACACTAACCCCTAGCTCCCTAGCTTCTGGCAGCATTTTCCACAAAAGCAGAAGCAGGAGCAAGTGAAGCAGCCACTAGGAAATTTTTCCTTAGCTGGGGAGAGATTTAGCAACTAAAGCAATCAGGCAGGAAGGCAGCATGGGGTGGAATTTCCAGGATCTCCAGCACTCCCAGGCCTGGCAATGCACTTCCCAGGACCACTGATCCCTGGGGCTCAGGAAATGGGGGGACTTTTCCATCATTGCCACAGTATCAGTTAGGACAAGAACAAGTCCTGCCCAGCTGGTGTCCTCAGGAGCATAGCCTGGCTTGGCCCTAGCAAAGGAAAGGAGGGAGGGGCACAGAGCCCCTCAGCGGACTGACTGGCACATGGAAACACAGAATATATCTTGAGGCTGGGGCTGTGGGACTCCCGGTGTCTCAGGCCACCTCCCTCCAGCAGCCTCCTTGATCCGGTGGGACCCAGCACACGGAGCCCTCTTACCCTCATGCTGTGACGCTTGAAGACATTGTGCCGGTGGAGAGGCGGGGTGTGCAGCGAGTTAACGGGAGATGGATACTCCATAGGGCTGGTGAGCGTAGGAGAGCTGGCACACAGACCCTCGGGGACCTAGTCAGGAGAAGCAAAGAAGCCCAAGAGACAGGGACAAGGCAAGAGGTGGACACTTAGCTGCTACGAACAGGAGCACAAAGAAACAATGCACGAGCACCCGGGGACGCAGACTGGCTCTTTCAGAGTAAATAGAGCAGTGGCGTGACATTTCCTTGGCCTCACTGCAGAGACATGGTCAAGCAGCATGGCCTCTCGTTTGCCTAACACCCTTCTCCCGTGATGCTTTGCACACATGCTGGCGCACACAGGTTTTCGACCTACTGAGACCGGGACTCCTTCATCAGGTCCCTTTGGGAAAGGGTTACGTTGCAAATTCACAATGTGATTAGTGTACAGATCACACACACACACACACACACACACACACAGAGTTGGTATTGAGGAGGATTAGTCAACTCCAGGACCCCTGTAGGAAACCCAAATTCACAGATACACAAGTCCCTTACATACAGTGGTGTAGTATTTGCATAGAACCAATAGCATCCCACAATACACTTTAAATCTTCCTGGGTTCTTTAAGATACCTAACGTAAGGTAAATGCTATGTTCACAGTTGTTATACTGGATTGTTCAGGAATGATGACAAGAAAAGTTTGTACATATTCAGTATAACAAGATTTTTTTTTTTGTATGTGCGTATTTTCAGTTTGTGGTTGGTTGACTCCACAGATGCAGAACCCACAAACATGGAGGGCAGACATGCAAAGCAGCAGACACCGCAGATGGCTGGACCTCTCAGCAGAGGGCTTCCTGACAGACCTGAATTTCTGTTCTGTTCTTTGATCTGAGTTTAAATTCTGTTTTGGGCACCAAAGAAGAATCACCCAGGCATTTTCATCACCTGAGCAGGTGACTGCTGCTCCTCAAAGTTGCAGGTGGAATTTCAGAAGATACCTCAGTGAAGGATGGACCTGACCTCCCCACCCTCTAGTTCCGTATTTACCTGGAACTGCAGCTTGGGAGCCAGCAGGTTGGTTTGTGGAGGGGGTCTATACTTGGGCCGACTGGGCTAGAGAGAGAACACAGGGCTGAATCAGTCACCATCTCTCTCCTTCAGTGAACGTGACCCACCAAGGGGACTATTAAGCCGGAGGCCACTCCTGCTTGTCCACAGTGAAGGAGGGATGAGGACAAAGTTAACATTAAAATCATACTGCAGTCACTTAGTGAGCACTAATTATATGGTGAGTGGTAGGAAGGTACGGGGCCCACCTCTCTGTCATAACTAGGGTTATGGCCAGTTGGAGAGGTTCATGACCTGTCATGTGCAGCCTCCCTGTGTGTGGGAGTTGCCAAGTCAGCAGTCACAGATATTCAGAAGCAGAAGGTGCCTGAGGTTTTAGGTACTCACCGAAACCTCATGGAGATGAAAACGGAGCTGGGCTAGAGGGAAAGGGCAGTACAGGCCAGGAATAAGGGACAATGAGAAAAGGCCTTGGACAAGAAGGGCCATTGCTGTGGACAGAACGTTTATGTCCCCTCAAATTCATATGCTAAAGTCCTGCCTCCCACTGTGATGACATTAGGAAGTGGGGCCTTTCAGAGGTGGTTAGGGTTAAATGAGGGCATGCGGGTGGAGCACCATAGTGAATTAGTGCCCTTGTAAGATGAGGACCAGAGACTGAACATCTTTCTCTCTCTTCTCCAGGTGAGAAGATAGTGGCCATTTGCAAGCCAGGAAGAGGCACTGATCAGACACTGAATTTGGTGCATCCAGAGGTTGGGCTTCGTAACCTCTAGAGTTGTGAAAGTTTAATGCCTATTGCTTAACCCATTCTGTCTATGGTATTTTGCTTTTGGGAGCTCCAAAATACTGATTAGTATAAGCATGGTATCTGAAACCCATGTACCTGATGATGGGGTGGGGGGCTCTGGCTCCTGATCTCAGGGCAGCCATCAAAAGCATAGGGACAAAACCTGGACCTCAGGGGCCTGGGACACTCCCCATCTATGTGTCTGTCCTCAGGAGGATCCAATTTATTCCTAGAAAGCTCCAGAATAAAAGTGCCTACCCTCCCAAGGGAGATGCTGGAGGGCTAATTCTTGACCCAGTTTGCCCAAAAGGTGCGTGCTGTCTCAGATTCCAGCTGTCAAGGCATGAGTGATGAGTCTGATGGTCAGTTGGGTCCCAGGGTTGAGAACATTGTAGGGCAGGATTCTGCTTATGCCAGGAGAGGGCAATGTGTCACACAGGGACCCAGCACTGCTGTGACCCACAGGACCAACAAGGCTGGGATTGGCCTACCTTGGGTGGGGGTTCCTGGTAGGTGACAGGCTCCAAGATTTTGGGGGGTCGGTAGCGAGCATTCCTTTCCTGCTCTATGGCAATGTCCTTCTCCATCTGATAAATGTCACTGCCAAGGTGCCAGGTTGGAGAAGGAGAGAAAACACAGTGACAGTGAGAAGATCCTTGGGGTTCTTCTCTACAGAGAGTACACTGTAGTGAAGCCAGGGGAGGCCTGGATGAGGACCACTAAGGCATATTTCCATCCCCATCTGTCCTGGCAGAATGGCCTGGGAGACCCCTGAGCCAGGCTGGGATATGGATCCTGAGGCTACTCTCAAACCCACTGGAGAGTGGATCCAGCCCAATTGGACAGCAGAAGCTTGCTGCAGCCCACCTCCCATGCCCCTTGTCCTCCTGTGCTTGCTGACAGCACCAATGCCCTCAGCCAACTTGGTGATCCAGGCCTAGGTTTGACATCTCATTAAACAGGGATATCATTTCTGATATCCCTGTGGGGGCTTCTGATTCATTCCTAAGCTATGTTTTTGTCCCTCACTTCTCTTGACTAGGGAATCACGGACCCCAGAGGCCCTGGGAGTTTTGGCAGGGTGTCCATGAATCCATATGTTGAAATGGGTATCAAGTACTATGTACTGTTGAATATGTGCTACTCAGTACTGTGTTCTCAAACATATATATGCATGACATCATGTCTAAAGCCTACTACATTTTGTCAGTAAAGGATTCTAAAAGTCTACTCTTACTACATGGAGGAAGTCTCAAAATGGGTCACACAGACTGTGAAATATCGATCAGATCCTTCCTTAACCCTAAAGAAGGCACTGTCAGGCTATTGCCTGAGGGGGGCCTCATGGAGTCTTCTGAGTCTCTGCATTTCTTTCAGGTCATACCCAAAGAGCCACTCCTACTCTGTCATGGTGGAGGCTGGGCCAGGCCTCTTAGTCAGGCATAGACACCAGCCATCTCTCCTTCTTATTCTCAAGGTCTCATCCTTCTCACCCAGAGCTTTTGCCCTCTCAAATTACATCTTTTAAATACTTTTCTGCTGGAATCTTCTGGCTTTCCAAATCTCTCTATGAGGATCCAACAGATGAGTGTAGGATTAATCAGGAGTGCTGATAAAAGGACAAACAGGAGGAGACAGGTTTTATAAGCTGGAAGTTTTGTAGATAGTGTTGGTGTCTTCACCCCACAAGCAGATGTACGGTCATTCCCACTGAGCCCTGCACAGGCATTGCCAGCCTCTCCCTTTGGAAGCCTCCCACCAGGAAGTTTCTAGGGGTTATTTTCTTGCTCTTGAAAAAAAAAATTAACCAGGGTTGGGATATAGTTCAGTGATAAGAATGCTTGCTTAGCTTGCACAAGACCCTGAGTTTGATCCCCACACCACAATAAATAAATAAATAAACAGACTTAAAAAAATGCCTGGTTGTTGACACAGTGTTTAAGGTTAACTAAACAGGAGATTCCCCAAACAGAGGTCAGCAAACTATGATCACAGGTCAAACCTAGCTTCCTACATAGTTTTGTGTTTCAAATTAAGAATGGCTATTACGTGTTTTAATAACTGAAAACATTTAAAAGAAAAACACTTGTGACACACGAAAATTACACAAAATTAAATTGTCAGTGTGCATAGAAGTTTCATTAAACCCATCCACTGCTGTTCACTTACAACTGCCTATGGCCGTTTTCAAGATGCAACAGCAGAGCTACATGGGTGCAGCAGGGGCTCCTATAAACTGTAAAGCCCCAAATATTTACTTCCTGGTCCTTTGCAGAATTAGTTTCTTGACCCTCCCCCACCCTCTATCAGAAAGCCAAAAGAAGTCAGAGCACCCTTGGGAGAGCTGATGGCAGGGAAGTGGGGGACCCTGAGCCTCTAAAATGAAAACTCCCTCACCAGTGAGGGTACCCAGGGAGCAATGACTGCTGGGAATGTAGAAGAATCAGACCTTAGACCCCTGGCCCTCCAAACAGAAGGGATAGGTGAACCCTGGGTCACAGGCTTGGTAACAGGTCAAGTACTGCCTTCCTCACTATCTGGAAGGAAGGACCAAAGTGGAGAGGAGAGGTGAGGTGAGGAAGGTCCCATGCCTCAAGCTCTATGTGCTCCAAGTGTGACCTAGTCTTTTGAAGTCTTTTGATTCCAACTGAGAAAATACCTTTCCAGCAACTGCAAGGCACTACGCTTGGTGCCGAGCTGCCAAGATGAGCAAGTCTTCCCCAGGTTCACCTCTTTTCTGACAGTAAACTTGGTCTCAACCTTCTGTCCTTCAACAGAGCTGGGGAGCACCTCTGTTCCAACTATCTGACGCCCAGTGAGCCTCTGCAGGAAGGACTGGCTCATTTTATATGCACACGTGGCTCAGTGTGCTCAGAAGGGAAGGTCTGGATACAAGTCCCAGCCACCTGTCACTGCTTTGAGCCTCAACTCCCCCATTCACCAGGTGGGAACAAGGATACCTGCTGTACGGGGCCATGGAGACCTAGACCATGTCTGACTTGGATGCTGAGCTGCAGCCCTGTCATCTGAGACAGCCACGCCCACCCTCTGCCCACAGCTCCCCATCCCATGCTCACCTGAGACTGCACACAAGCTCCATGAAGCGGGGCCGATCACTGGGGTCATAATCCCAGCAGCGGGTCATGAGGGTGTAAAGGACAGGTGGACAGAGGTCAGGCTTGGGCAGCCGGTCTCCTTTCTCCAGGACCCCAATAACATCCTTGTTTTCCAGCCAGAAGAACGGTTGCTTCCCGAAGCTCAGAATCTCCCACATGCACACGGCTGAAGCCAGAGGGAGAAGGCTCAGGCCTTGTGCTGGGGAGAAGCCAGGCTGCCCTCCCCTGGAACAGCTGTGGCCCTCAGTGCTCTGTCCCAGCCAGGAGGAACACACGTGTTGTCTCCCCTCCCCCTCTGTCCACCACGGTGGTTTGCCTAAAGGATCTGTAGTACATGAACCAAGGCCTCCCTGTCACCCCTCAACATGGAGCTATTATGGCTCTATGGGGTCAGGAGGTGGTGATCATCAGGGCCACTAGCCATCTTCTTGGGGAAGGGAGTGAAGCTCTGTCAGCAGGAGTTGGAAGCCTAGCACCAACACTTGCTGCCTGTGTCATCGGGCAAGCCCCTCACTTGTCTGAGACTCAGTTTCCTTAGCTGGAAAATGGAAGTAATGGTGATAAAATTGTACAGAGTCAGCTGTGAGGGACCTAGTGGATAGTTTACAGACTAGTGTGTTCTGTGAGGGGCATCCACCCTCACCCACCGGCTCGGTCCCTCCCTGCACCTCCTTCTCAGAAGAAACTTGAGTTTTTGTCTTGGAGGAGCCCTTCCAGTGGGTCCCCATAGGAGTCTGTAGGGCTGGCTGGTAGAATGCATGCTTGTCACAGAGTCCTTTTTAGGGGGATGAGCCTAGACTATCCAGGCTAGCCCTTGGTCCATGTCACCCCCACTCAGCAACTTTTCCCTCTGGGACTTTTCAGCTGCCACCATGAAACAGGACCCTGAGGAACCATGAAGGGGCTCCCTGTGCCCCTCCTAGCCCAGCCACAGAGGTGAGAATCTGAGCCCTTTTCCATGTGCTCCGGAGTCACCACTCACCGAACATCCAGACATCACTGGCTGTTGTGAAACGGCGGAAGTTGATAGACTCTGGGGACATCCATTTGATGGGGAGACGAGTCACAGAGGCTTTGGGTGGACAAAGGAGTTTAAGAAGTTATTTAGGGAAGAAAGATCCAGAGTTACACAGAGATCTTAAGCCTGGGTTACCTAACCACAGACTTCATTTTTCTAGGATTTTGGATTCAATCAACCCTCCAGGGACAAAGCAATGACCAGAAAAGGCCCTCACCTTTGTAATAGTCTTCATCTTCAATGTACCGGGAAAGGCCAAAGTCCCCCAGCTTCACACATTCAGGAGAGGCCACCAGGATGTTCCGGACAGCGATGTCCCTATGAATGATTGAAGACCAGGCTGAGACACTGCCTCAAGCCCTTGGTGCAGCTGAGGAAAACGGGGAGAGGGCTGAGAAGGTTCCTAGAGGTTACCGGCAGGAAGAGGGCTCCACCCAGGTAATCTAACTTCTGAGCCCCCACATTTGCAGGCACTCGCTCAGGTCACCTGACCCCAAAGCTGGTGTCTGCTTGCTTCTCAACAGGCATCTGGGCTCTCTAATGCCTGTTTCCACTGTTGAAAAGATGACTTAAAGACATGCAACTTCAAACCAAACAACAAAATCATCCCTCCGCCTCAGGCCTTGACTATCAAATTTGGCTCATAAACTTCACAAGGAAGAGGATTTTTGTCTGTTTAGATCACAACTTTGTCTCAGAGCCCAGGACAGTGCCTGGCCCCGAGCGGGAACTCCATCAGACTTATGGCATGAGTGGACGGATGAATGAGTGAATACAGGCTTGTATGCTCTTCATGGCTAAGCATAGAACCAGGCACGAGCGATATCAATGGTGGGGTGAGCACTCCAGCGCCATCTCCTGGCAGGGGGGTGTGTGTGTGTGTGTGTGTGTGTGTGTGTGTGTGTGTGTGTGTGTGTGTGTGTGTGTGTGTGTGTGTGTGTGTGTGTGTGTGTGTGTGTGTGTGTGATGTTTCCAAGGCAGGAGTCTCTTTCAGGGAAAGGAAACAAAACCAGATAGAGGAGCAGCCAACTCCACAGCTACAGGGACGATGAACCGGTGGTCCAGGGATGCTGGAACAAGAGAGGGGCCTGAAACTGGACCCCAGGATCTTCTGGTTGCATCTCTAGCCCAGTTCCTTCTTCCTGGACCACAGTGGGTGAGTTGGAGGAGGTGGAGCTCTTAGCACGGCTGATGGCTCCTTCTAGCACTCATGGGGGACAAGGCGGGTAGAAGACACTGAGCTACAGTGAGACATCTCAGACTTTGGAGGTGTTTCAGTAGCAGTCCTATGGGGGCCATGTGGTTATTTTAACTTGCTAGTTGAGGAAACAGTTCTCAAGTGCTCCCAGTGGCCCAGGATAGGATTCCAGCTCTGGTGTGTGCGGCTCCTCAGTCCTACACACTACAGCCTTCTCAGGGATTAGGTGAAAAAGCTAGTGTCCATGGTGCCCTACCTGTGCACGCAGTTGATACTTTCCAAGTAGGCCATGGCTTTGCATATCTGCAGCGAGTATAGGACGAGGGTGGGCACCTTCAGGGAGTTCTTGTTTCGTTCCAGGTAATGGCCCAGCTGTGGGAAGGGGGAGGTGGCATCAGGCCTCCTTGTTCAGCCTCAGCATAGTGCCAGGGGTCCAGGCCAGTGACAGCTACTGACCCCTCCCTTCTAATGATGGCATGTTCCAGCAATTTCCTCTACCAACAGGGCCTCTGTTTCAGCTGAATACAGAAGGCAGGAAGCCTTCTGTACATCCTCATTCCCTGTTCAACTGCAGCCCGGCTGCTGTCATGGGGTTCCTAGTCTGCCACGGCCAGCTCACCTCCCCATAGGGGTACAATTCCATAATGATCCACGTGGGCTCCTCTTCAATGATACCGATCAGCTTCACAATGTGCGGGTGGTCCAAATTCTTCATTATCACTGCAGGTACAAGAGGGAGGACAGAGGAGCACCTCCAGGGTCACATAGTTGGCGTGTGTGTGTGTGTGTGTGTGTGTGTGTGTGCGTGTGTGTGTATGCACTGGGAGGGTCAAACCCAGGGCCTCACTGTACACCGTGCTATATCACCAGCCCCAGATGCATTGGAAAAATACAATTTGCTATCTCAAGTGGGAGAAACAGGGAGTAAGACCCAGTTCGAAGGTGGGTCCTGGCATGGTTTCACCTTCCCTTCCAGACTTTAGGACCTCCCATCTCTGAGGGGTGGGGAATTTCAGCCCTCCACAGGGGATGCCTACCTGCCTCACTCATGAACTTCTCCTTATTGTCCAGGGTGCAGTCTTTCTTGCAAGTCTTGACGGCTACGTTGATTTTCTCCCCTTTCTGCAACAGGAGTGGGCTCAGGGACCCTCGGTCTAGCCTAGTGCTTTCTACAAGACAGTGTCCCTCCCCAGCCTCTGCATGGCCTTCCTAAAGACTTGGCCATGAGCCAAGGGAAGGTGGTGACCTGGCCTCTGCATCACACATCATCCTCCTTTCTTCTATTTCTCTTTTCTTTCCTTTCTCGTCCTCTCCTGTTCTTTCCCTTTCTTCTTGATCAGACTGTGTTAGAATTGGAAAGAGCTTCAGAGATCAAATAACTCAAGCCCGGAGGTCCACAGGAGGATGCTGAGATGGAGGGACCACGTGATCTGCCCAAGGTTAGCCAGCATGTGGGGATGCACCCACAGGGCCTCTGTCAGATGTGCAGCTTGGCCTCATTCTTCCTTGTTATTGTTGGGATTTAAACTGTGTTGCCCTTGCTTTTGGGCTCTGCATTTCTCCAGCCTGCTGAAAGCAGGACCACAGGCAAAGCTCACTGCTTTCCAGTGGCTTAAAGGCCAACTTCTATTTGCTAAGGGCCTGCCCTTCCTCCTGGAACTGTATCTTATCTGTCACCTCAGTGATGACCCTTTTCCAGGTCTTGCCTCTATTTCCATCCCTAGTACTTTGCTATCCTTCTTGGAAACGACCCTCACTCCCATCAATCCTGAGCCACATGGATAAAAATCCACCACCACAGCTGCCACCTCTAACTGGCTCAGGTTCCAGCTCCTGCCTCACCCTGCAGCCAGGTGGAAGAGGAATATCAGGAAGTCTGGGACTCACATGATTTGTGTAGACCCCTTCATAGACCTCTCCAAAGAAGCCTTCGCCAAGAATATGATTAAGGACCACATCTTCATGGGTGACACCATACTGTGGACCTGTAAAGATGAAGAAAACTGAGTCCCAGTGCACAGAGATCAGCTGGTCTCCCCTGGGGTACCTGAGTCTGGAGGTTCTAAGGTAGGGTGTCTCCAGGCCCCTGAGCAACACCCCAACCAAGAACCAGGGCCTGAGCTAGGAAAGGGGATGTAGAATATTCCATTGTCTCATACCCAGGAAAGTGCCATCACCCTATTCCCTGGGTACCAGGTTCACATTCTCAGAATCCCCACAGAGCAGCACAGGCCCACAAAAGGTCAATGCACATAGGATCTCAGTTTTCAAATCAGAGGCACCTCAGCTTTGCCTCTGTCTGAGAGCACATGCAGGTGGAGGGGGGAGTGGTTGGGAAGGAAGAATGTTCCTCTGTGGTGTCCCACCAGTTCTCACAATGTCATTTCTGGTGGCCCTGGCTGTGATTGCCAAGGTAGGGTGAAGGACCTACCTCCCGGCCTTCGCAGGGTCTCATCGGGAATCTCTGCATAGATGTCTGATTCTGCAACACAGAAAGAGGTCCACCCATGGGCAAGATGCCCATCTCAGCAGGGCCAGGAAGGAGGTGTGGCTCCCACCTGGAGGCCAGGGCAGCTCAAAGGCTCGGGGGGCGGGGGGAAAGCCAGCTGCACCTCAGGCTTCATTCCTTTCCTGACAGCTCCCTAGTTGAGTAATTTAGGGCAAGTTGGATGATCTCCTTTCAAATAACACCTATTACCCACTTAACACCATGAAGAACTGGATGTTTGTGTCTCCTCCAAATTCACATGTTGACCCCCTAAACCACAATGTGATGCTTTTAGGATGTGGACCTTTGGAAAATAATTAGGGTTAGGTAAGGTCATGAGGGTGGGGCTCCCATTATAGGATTAGTGTCTTATAAGAAGAAGAAGAGAGACCAGAGCTCACTCTCTCTCACCACTAGTGAGCACACAGTGAGAAGATGGTCATATGAAAATCAGGAAGGGAGCCCTCAGCAGACACAGAATCTGAGGGCACCTTGATCTTGAACTTACCACCCAGAGAGGTGGGAGAAGTAAGTGTTTGTCAGTCACCCAGTCGATGGTATTTTGTTTGGGGCCACCTGAGCTGCTATAGATAAACATGATGCCAGGTACTAGCTATGCAATACAGATTTGCTATTACAGTGAATGGCATTTTCAATCTGTCTGTGAAAAGTGATAGGGAAGGTGGTTTTCTGTAACTTGGCAATGTCACAGGAGCAAATAGTTGAAAGGAAGCTTGGCACAGTAGAGGGTGCAGCGGGCAGGCTTACCTATGCTGCAGCTTTCTGAAAGGTGGGACCGTCGAGCCTCCAGGTTTCTGCAGGAGGAGGTGAGAGAAGCAAAGCTCCATGAGCCCAGCGATGTTCCCCCGGGCAGCCTGGGGCCACCCTCGCCCACCACCTCATCTGCAAAAGTGGCCAACCTAGCTGGCACCAAACTGTGAGCTACAGCCTAGGCCAACAAAGGGCAGGAGGGAAGGAGACAAGTAGTGACCCCATGAATGGTAACACCAGGTGGGACACGGAATAGCCCTGCAATGCTCCTGTGTACTGGGAAGGATCCCCTGCCCTGTGGAATGCTGGGACTCTAGTGTGCTCCCAGAAATGAGGTGGCAACTCCCTGTGTGTTCTTCCCTCTCCCAGCAGCACGGGCTGAGCTCGGGCCCCTCCCTGCCTCCCCATTTACTCACAGTGTAGGGATCTGGGGCAAGCCGTCCCGCTTCTCACCATCTGGGGAAAAGGAGGGGAAGGGAGAGTTGGAACCAGGGCGCAGGGGTGTGGATGGACAGCGGGCTGGTCTGTCACTGTCCCTACAAGGAGACACTTCCCCACCATTCTCTCCCTCTCTCCTTCCCTCCATCTCTCCCTCTCTCTCAGCATTAGGGTGGATGCCCCATAGGCCTGAGCCAGAACTGGCATCCTCCTTGTAAGCTTCCTCTGGCTAGCATCGCAGGCTCCAGCCTGGACTCTGCTTCCTGAGACACAGACAGGAGGAACCAGCCATGTGCTAGCAATGGCTCTGATTCTCCTGGAGCTATAAACGTGGCTTCTCCAGAAGCCAGCTTCTATGCAGCCCTGACCAGTAGGACCGGGGGTGGCTGGCCAGGGCTGGGACCTGTAGCTGATGCTCCAGGATGGGCCCAGAGGGAGCAGAAGGAAATGCTGTGTGACTGCCATCTCCCCACACTTCTAAAGCCTCTCCCCTAGCTTAGGGGCCAATGGCTTAGCATCCAGACTCAGCCCTGCAGGCTTGGCTCAGCTGTACTGCCGTCCACTGTTGGGCAACTTTGCCTCCACAGGGAAACCCACCTTTCTTGGGATGGGTGATGAGAGAGCCTTTGTGTTCACCCTGTAGCCGGCAGTAACCGTCTATGAGGTCTGCCATGTTCTCAGCCTCTGCCAGGGACGAGGTTTTGATGGACAGGGACTGCAGAGAAGAGGCCAGCAAAGGGTGAGATCTTAGAGCCTTGATTACAGTCCTCTCCACAGGGCAGGAAAAGAGGCTGAAGGACCTCTGGCCTCCACCTCTTCAGGATTCCACCCACATCTCTCTTGGGCTCTGATCCTATTCTTGAGACAGCCACCAGGGGGCACACTGGCTCTAAGCTTTTGAAGGCCAGTTCTGGGTCTCACTTATTCTGGTCTCTGTCTGAAGAGCACAGTGCCTTGTACCTTGTGGATGCTCAGTATGCAAAGGCAGAAACTGAGAAACAGGAAGCGAGAGGAAGTGGGCAGGCACAGACTGGTGAAAGGAGAGACAATGCAGTCTGAGGTCTCTCTGATTCTTCCACTCACAAAAATCCCTGTGTCGTGTCCCTGAGATCTTGCTTTACTCACTTGATAAGTGTTAGGCCTCTGATTTGCACCTGATTTCTGGTCACCTTGTCCTGCCCTAACATTTTCCTTTCTTCTTTTTCTGACATAATAATAATAATAATAATAATATCATTTCCTGAATTTTCTTATAATAGATTATTATCCAAATGATCTGTTTGGGCACTGGTTACGGCTTCTTCACAAGATCCCAAAGCCAAGGAACCTCTGGCCCCCTGCCTGCCCTGTCCAGGCTGGCCTGAACTAATCCTAACCAAATGACACCCCTGTAGAACTCCCAGATCCCCAGAGATGCTCACCTGGGGGGCGCCTTCGATGCCCAGCTGCAGCACTGCCTGGCCTTCCTCCAGTGGAAGACATCTAATGGACTTAATCTGCTTGAATTCAGCCAGGCAGGTGGGCTGTGGAAGAGGAAGGGACCCTGAAGACCGTCCCACCATGGGGACTTAGCCAAGCAGGTTGGTCAGCATGGGGTGGTAAGGAGAGATTGGGACAAAGAGAGTAAGGCTGGAAGGATCTTCTAGTCTGTGCCCCTCTCTTTGCAGAAGAATGGGGTCTGGGGAAAGCCAGTACTCGCCCAAGGTTATATGCCAAGTTGGCAGTACAGCCAGAACTGGACCCAAGTCCCCAGATTCCAGGGGAGTCACTGACTCATCTTGCCATTGAAGGAGTGACTCTTCTCTCTGAACCGAGCATGCTTCTCTCCCCTCCTCTATGCAGAGCAAATCACAGGGGAGTAAAGAACCATCTGCCTTATGCTGCTATCCCCAAACCCTCTCTCCCCAAAGCTCACACCAAGGACATAGCCTTTTGGATCTGCTCTCAGCAATGAGAGCTTAGAGATCTGATCTGGGAGATGAGGCAGGAGACAGAAGAAGGGGAGGCCTCTGAGCCCAGGCTCTTTCTACCTTTGCATCTTGACTTGTCAGCTGGCGGATGCCTTTAGGGCCAATGACCAGGTCCACAGTAATGTTCCATCCTTGCTGCAATAAAAGAGAGAGGGGACTATTGCCGCTGTTCTGCCCACCCTATTCAGAAATTGTAAGAAAATCTCACTAAGCTAGATATGGACCACCATCTCTTTGGTCCTTCTATCCCAAACCCTGTCATACAGCTTGACCCTCCTGGCATCCTCCCACTTCCAAGAGCTGGAGGCCACCATTCACTCCCTCCCCATCCCCCAAGTTGGCCTGGAAGTCAGGTCATTACAATGAGTTCACAGCGATAGGTCTCCTGGTCGATGTTGGCAAAGCCTGCCAGGGTGTTGAAGAACTTCATGACACACTCCTCCTCTCGCAGTGAGGCATACTGCTGGAAGGTCTGCTGGATCATCTTCCTGAACTGCTTGGGCTGGGGAGCAATGGGACAGAGCTGAGCCAAGCCCTGTTCCTCTGAGCTCAGCTTCCTTCCCTTAGGTCTCCCTAAAAGGCTGCCCTCTGCTGCAGGCTGGCCCCCAGGGCCCCTGCATGACATCAGCCATAATCGGTTCCCTGCAGCACACCCCCATTGTCTCTAGGGAGGGTCATCCTAACCCTGTGGAAGACATAGCCATCACAGGACTCAGGCTTGAAGTGAATCAGCCTCAAAGGGCAGCTGGAGACAGGCACATCCTTTCCCGACTTCCAACCACAGAAGACCCCATGGGGTACATTCATTGTCCTATGTCCAGAAGTCTTCTCCAAAGAGCCACTGCCTGGTCCTGCTAGTCTTGGTCCTGGGATCTGCATAAAGAGGGACTCTCTGGGCCCCAGACCCTCCTGTTTTCCTTACCTTTAAGTTCTCCTGCATCTGCTTTGGGAAAAACAGGTCCAGCCCCACTTCCTTTCTGAAAGAAAGGAAAGAGATGCAGTATTTGACTTCCCCTTTCTGACCCTGGACTTCTGGCCAATTGGGAGGAGGTAGGAGGGTGTTGGACCAGGGAGATGGGCCCTGAGGGCTCTGGTCTAGGGAAGAGTGGAGGGGTGAGTAGGAAAAATAGGGTGTTGGAGAAAAGGAAGGAGGGAGAGGGCCTGTCCCAGGACTTACTCCAGGAGCTCGAAGTTAGACTTTTTGTCAAGTGCGTTGTGGGGCATATCCTTGAAGAACCGCCTGGAGAGAGAGAAATTGTGGAGAAGAGGATGATGGTTGGAAAGCGAGGCCTACAGAGCAGAGCACCCAGTGCCCAGGTGTTGGCCTAGACGCCCCCTTCCCCAGGTGCCAGGTATGGGAACCTCTGGGAGGGAAAAAGTCAGGAATGTCGCAATTGGATATTTAGAAAATTGTGAGGAGAAAGGGACCTCACAAATTTCATTCCTAGAAAAGATCCCAAGCTTGTGCTCTGGGAGACCCAAGCATTGGACTGTACAGTTGTCAGGCTGAGAAAGAAGATGGTGACTCCATCTGTGTTGCTAGAAACTACCCAAGGCAAGGCAGCCAATATGGAAGCTGTCAGCCTAGGAGCACCACCTCCGCCTTCGGGTCCAGGTTCCCTTTGTGGTTTCTGTTTTGCTTATTTGCTGTCTCTGAAGTACTGTATGTGTGTGTGTCCATTTAAACAATTATTAAATATAGTACATGTAAAAACTTTAGAACTTAGAGAACAGAGGGAGAAAATAAAAATAATCCTAGAGGTGACATCTATAATATTTGATGCACATTCTTTAAGTCCCATTTCTCCTAAAAATATTTGATTTGATGAAGACTTTATGTGCTGTCAGGTGCCACAAATGGCATTTTGGTCAGCGATGGGCCATATCTATGATGACAGTCTCATAAGATTACATCATCTGGTGATGTCAACAGTGGCCTTTGTTTTTGTAAGTACACTCTGCAATATTCACACAACAAGGAAATCACCTAATGATGCATTCTTCAGAATGTGTTTCCATTGTTAAGTGATGCGTGACTGTATTATTTACTTGTAGCAATTGTGGTTTAAGCTGAAACCAAATAACCAATGTCCCCAGGTATAACAGCCTCCCTTCCTTGTCAGGACCTCTGTGTCTAGTAATTTCATTGCCTGTGGTAGACATTGTTCTTCTCTTGATTTTATATTAAAGTGACTCTGCGCTCCTTTAACTCTACAGACATCTGGGAACAGTTCTGTTCTACTAATACCGTAAGCAGAGAGAGGCAAATAACTTGTGACCTTAGATGGTTCTCTGTGTCTAGAAAAAAGGAAAGTTGGATCCTCACCTCACACTCCCTTTATCTAGAGTGTGTATCTTGATGCATTTAAGGAGATATTATATATATCTTACATATATATACATACATACAGCAAAACCACTTCAAATCTAGAAAAAATCTAGGGAAATATTCATAAGTCAGAGTCAAGAAGAACACACCTTAAAGCATAACATCATAGAAGAAATCCTACATAAAAACATAAAACGTGGAATGTTCTGTTCGAAACAATTTGTTTTCAGCCGTGCTGGGACTTGAACCAAAGGCCTCACACTTCCTGGCAAATGTGCTACCACTTAAGCCACTCCCCAAGCCCTTGTGCTTTACTTTGTTTTTTCAGATAGGGTCTCACACTTTTGCCCAGTGCAGCCTTGGACTATGATCCTCTTACCTCTGCCTCCTGAGTAGCTGGGATTACAGGCATGCATGTTCATGCACGCCTGGCTTGTTTTTTGAGATAGGTTTTGCTAACTCTTTTGCTTAGCTGGCCTTGAATCACAATCCTATCTTTGCTTCCCAAGTAGCTGGGGTTACAGACATGAGCCACCACACCTGGCCTGTCCTTAATAATTTTTAGTAAGTGATGTCATTGAGTATATTGTCAAGCAATGTAAGTAGTTACCTCTCAACAAATGATGACCCCAGTTTTAGGAAAATAAATGCATTGTGAAAAATCATAATGGAACTCCCCTTTAATGGAGGTTATCCATGGCTAATTGGGTTCCAGGTAATTTTAGGAGCTCTCCCCCACTTTCCTACATGTTCCCAATATTCCCAATAGTAGTAGTATTTGTTTTACCTAAAAAAAAAAAAATTTGAAAATCTCTTGGGTTACCAAGTTGATTTGGCCTGCACTGTCACTCTGCACTTTCCCGGTAGGAAGTCCTTTCCTGCTCTTTCCTCTTACTGGTCCCTGGCACTATGGGGACTAAGCTTAATCCCCTTCTTGGATGTCACGTAGTTGAGGAAATTTATCTTATCGTGACCTTTCCTAGCAGTCTTCTGCCCCAGTCCACATACACACTCGCACACACACGCCAGATCAGCATCCTCAATTGCTTCAACTCTTTCACAAAGGGATGAAAGCCCTATGCAAAGTTAGAATGAGAAGAAGAGAATAGGTCCGTGGTGAGAACAGCACAATAAGACCAGAGTCTTCACCCAGGCCAAGCTGAGTCTGCTTCTGGAGGAAGGGCAGAAGGTAAAAAGTCTCTCCCATTCATTTTTTTTTCTTCCAGAATCAGGGACAAAAATGTTCAAATGAGTGTTGAGGAACAGTTGCATTTTATGATGGCTTAGTGACAACTATGGAATTTTATTTTATAATATCAAAATATATTTCTATCCTATCTTCTTCCCCCCCAAAAGGATAAAGGGATAGAAAGTCTTAAAACAAGGTTAAGTAAAACATGGCTAGAAGGAAATCAGAAAACAAAATAAGGAAAGCTGAGGGTACAGGATAGAGGCTTTGCTTGAGTGTAGGTTTGGGGCTTGGATGTCCTGGCCGCCAGGGTGTGGACTGAAGACCTCATTAAGTAAATAATTTATTGAGTGAAAACATTTGCCATAAGAGAGGGATAACACTGAAGAAACACTAATTGAAAGGTGACTGATTCTCAGTAGTCATCTTACCAAAAACGGAGACTATTTCAATGTTTTTTATTCTTCCTGTTGCAATTTTGGTAAATATTGCTATATTTGCTTTCATTGCTATGGCAATTTTGGCATAGCATGAAAGCACAATTCAGTAACTGAATGTGGTCTGAGAACATGGCCTTCCGGTGGTCCTAATTCAGTGTCCTCAACTCTAGGCAACTCTTACCCCCTCCTCCCCTCAGCCAGAAACACTTGGGAATGTCTGGGGATGCTTTTGGTTATCACCCATGGTGGCAGTAGGGGGCTGCTGCCAGCATCTAGTGGGCAGAGACCAGGGGTCCTGCTAAACACCCTGCAGTGCTCGCACCAGAAGAGCCCCTCTCAACAAAGAGTTACTCAGCCCCAAGGCCACTCGTGCTGAGCTTGAGAAATCCAGGGAACCTGATCCAAGCAGAGAACTTTAAAGACGAAGAACAGTGGCTCTTACCTCCCTGACTTCTCTCTACCGGGTGTTTGATGGACTGGTACAAGAGGTGGGACCATAAAGGGGTATTTGAGCTTACTAAGGGCAGACCGCGCAGCAAGGAGGTGTGTCAGTTACAGGAGATACGGAGTCTGTCCAGGACTCTCTCCTTGAAGGAGGAGTGCCCTCCTCTTACATCCACCCACAGAGTTTCTGCAGCTAAGAGCCCAAAGTTCCAGTCATGCAGCCAGTGCCACCTGCCTACCCACACACGCATAGAACACCTCAGAGCACATCTGTAACGGGCCAGTTCTAGGCAGCACAGCCACCCACAATTCTGCTGGATAGAGTGAGTTCAAACTGTGCCTGTGGGTAACTGAATACAGGCTCATTGCACACTCTGTGCCATTTGAATAGCATGGAAGTTGGCAAATGACCACCAAACAAGAGAACTGCAGTCCTCTCTGCGTTATTCAGTCATTCAAATATGGATTGAGCTCTTTTGTGCCATGGGAAGGAGGCACCAATGTGACATCAAGGGCTTGGCATATTTCACAGTCTAGCACAGGTGAACACACCATTGCTAAGTACAAGTCTGTGCAGGGACAATGGCTTTGCAAAGGAGGGTATAGCAGGGGGGCAGAGAGGCCTCAAGATGGAGAACCCCTTGGACTGCCTCTTTGAGAACGGCCACACTCATACTGCTTAATCTGACACTTCCCAGGCCTGCCCTGAGACATCCCATGCACAAAGAGGGCAGGCAGGTACTTTTCCGAAGTTGCCAGGATGAAGACGAATTCACCTACCTTTCTCTCATTCATCCCTTCTCCCCCCCCCACCCCCACCCCGGCTCTGGGTTACAATTTTGCAGTTGAGAAGAGGAATCATTTCAGGTGTTTGACTGCACAGCAGGATGACTACATCTAATAATAACACATTTCAAAAAGCCAGGAGAGGGTTTTGAATGTTCTCACCGTAAAGAGAATTCTAAATGTCAAAAATGTGTACAATTATTCTGTGACAATCAAAAACAAAAGGAAGAAAGAAATTACTGGGCTGAAGAGGGGAATGAGAAGACTATGGCTGGCAGTGGGGTGCGTCCCACAGAGGACGTGAGACCTGCTTCCCAGACACAGAGGGCAGTGCTCTTAGAGCCACTCCCAGCAGATGGTCATTGCTGAATGACTGGATGGGCTTTGAAACTTGCAATAAAAGAATTCTGAAGACCGGGGTATTTACATGGTAAATTTTAAAAATTAGGGTTAGCTAAATGGAAGGGTAAGCACATTTTGAAACTAACAGTTCAGAATTAAAAATGATTAGGGAGATGGTGGATGGAAAAATGTTGTATTGGGTAGAGGAAACTTAGCTAACTAACACTCTGGGGCCACCTGAGGTTCCTGACTGCAGCTTTGCTTAGCTCACAAACTTTGTTCCTTTTCTCCCACGCACTGCGCATCGGTCACAGGGTTACTGTTGACAGAGGTGTCTAACCACCCAAATGTGCCATAATCCTTGGGTTTTTAACATTTGTAGCAACTGAACGTTGGGAGGTCCTGGACGACCAGTCACCATCACTAATGAAACTCTGCTATCCCTAGGGAGTGAGCTTAGTGATCTTCTGAACAGCAGAGACTCATCTCAGCTGCTGTTTGAGTTGTGGGTTATCCCAAAGCCAGCTCAGGTCATCGCTGAGGAAGCTGCAGGCTCCCTCTAGTGCCCACTGCTTCTCCCAGTCTGTGGGCAGGCACAGGCCTGTGACTGATAATGCACGTGAGGCAGCAAAAACACAAAGATGGATGCATGCAAAATCCAGTTGGTTATGTTTTCCTGCTAAACAGTAATAAAGATATTAACTTTTTTAAACCAACATTTATAAATTAACTGTGTACCAAAACATCTTTTGAAGCAAAGCTAGGTATTTGTGATCTAATTTTTTTTTTTCAGTCTAGGGCTTGAACGCAGGGCCTTCTCCTTGAGCTATTCCATCAGCCCTATTTTTGTGAAGGGTTTTTTGAGATAGGGTCTTGTGAACTATTTGCCTGGGGTAGCTTCGAACCATGATCCTTGTGATCACTGCCTCCTGAGTAGCTAGGACAGGTGTGAGCCACCGGTGCCTGGCCATTATCTAATCGTACTTTTTGTCAGTTACTACTTAACAAACCTTGGGTTATACATTCACTGTGACTTTTTAGGTCAGAACACTCTTGGATTCTGCTGGGGGAGGACAATATTCCTGGTTGTCTCAGGTCAGAGAGGACAAATTATTTGGCTCCTTGAACTGGCACACAGACCATGAATTTCACATTTTCATTTATAGTGGGACAGTTAGATACAAATCAGATATTTGACATTTATAAAGCAGCTCTGATAAATCAATAGAAACCAATTAGGTATCATTCCAACTATATGACAGTCTGGAAAAGGCAAAACTAAAAAAGTCCAGTGGTTGCTGAAGTCAATGGGCAGGGAGTGATGACCAGGTGAGCACAGAGGATGTTCAGGGTGGGGAACTGCTCCATGTGATATTGTCACGGTGGATACGTGCCCAGGTCCAGACCCACAGCAAGAATAAGCGAATGTGAGCTGTGGACTTTGAGTCATAATGACGCATCTTTTATCACCCATAGCAAATGCACCACTTCTGGGAGGGGTTGTTGATAATGGTGAAGGCTGTCTATGGGCAGGGAGGAGGTACATGAGGAATCTCTGTACTTTATGCTCAATTTTACTGTGGATCTGAAACTTCTCTAAATAACAAGTCTATGAAAATAAATAAACAGGGGCTGGCTGGGTTTACCACTGAGTAGAGTAATTGCCTAGCGTGTGTGAGGCCTTGGGTATGATCCACAGCACCACAAAGATAAATAAATGTAAAGAGAAAAACATGAGTTAAAAACCAAATATTTATAGAACACGCTATCCCTGTCATTATCCTAAATACTTTAAATACTTTCACTTATTCCTCCTCATAATATCCCTGCAAGGTTGTTCCCCATTGTTACCATTGTTCCCATTTTACAGGTGAAAGAATTGAGGCACAGAAAGATTGAGTGACTTGCTGAGTGGCGCAGGAAATTTAAGACCCAAGATGCACATCCAGCAGCCAGGCTGAAACCCTGTGCACTTCCCCACTGTGGCCCACTTCTCACTGACAGGACCAAATCCACAGAGGATTCATGAACACAGTCTTCTATTGCATACACATATCATACCTCTTCTTTGAGCTAGGAAAGAACAGGTTATTTCTTTTCCCCCGGTGATGTCATATATCTGTAGGCAGGTTACACAAGCTGTGATGTTAATAGGACAAGGGACTGTTGCCTATGATACTCAGGAAGGAGCCACAGCCCTGGAAGATTCTGCCTTATGGTCTGATTTTCAGAAGCGTGTGTCACTTAGTGAGGCAGCCCATCGTCATAGAACCATGTGTAGCTTTGTATTCTCCCCTTTCTTTTTAAAAATGACTAGGCTTGAAAGTCTCCTGTTAGGTTTATACAGGTATTTTCCGTATCCTGTTCTGGATATCACATCCCTGCCCTCAGTGGTCTGCTCTGTTCCTCAGGCTCAGGAGACGTGAAGCAGGACATCACTTCATGAAACAAGCATGGGTTTGGGACAATCCTGATTTGATTAGAAAGCTGACATCGTTAGGCAGTCTACCCCAGGTCTTATAGCCCATCAGCACATTCATGGCACTCAAACCACAACTAATAACAGTTTGGGGATGATCTGAGGAATAAGAATGTGCAATACGGGGCTGGGGACGCAGCTCAGTGGTGGATCTCCTGTCAAGCAGGCATGGTGCCCTGGGTTCATTCCCCAGCATGGCAAAAAACAAACAAAAAAACAAAACAAAGAAAACGTGAACTAGAATGACCATGGGTCTTGTGCTCCTGTTTTACTAAGTGACAACTGTTAGTGACTTAGTGGAGTCTTAAGGTAATATTGCAGTCCTTAGTATAAAGTCCATTAATAAAAAGGTAAAGGTAAGCTTTTTAGAATTGTCTCATTTCAGGGCTTGGTAGAGTGGCTCAAGTAGTAGAGTGCCTGCCTAGCAAGCATGAGGCTCTGAGTTCAAACCCTAGTACTGCCAAAAAAAAAAATAGAATTGTCTCATTTTAGGTGGGATGACTATAGAATGTGATGCAGGTTACAGGACTGCCGTGTCCTGGAAAGGCAGACAGAGGCACATGCAATAAAGTAAACTTCACAGATTGCCACTGGTTTGCCAGCACTGAGCTCCCAAGAGCTCAGTGGAGAATCACTAGTGTATGGCGCTCCCAGGCAATTACCACTGGCAGCAAGGTGGGTTCACCATGGAGGATCCTAGTGTTCCCTTGCTTGTTAACACAGACTGCTGCCAGGTGAAAGATAACGGGGAGCTCTGAGGGCTATCCTTTACACAATTTATCACAAACACCAATAGTCGACCAAAATTTCCCTGGCAATGGTCCCAAAAATCTTCCCAGCAACTCCAGTGAGGACACTTTGTCCACTCATCTGGGGGGCTGGCCCAAAAATACCTCTTCAAAGGTTCTAACTGGGTCTTCCTGATGGTGGGATGGGGAATTACTAGAGTATGGAGTTCACAGGTAACTATGATTTGCAACCACTGCTCTGAAACAGGTAAGGGGTTCAGAGCAGGGGAGGAAGGCAGAAAGGCAGGTGGATGGTGAAGTTGAATGGTGCTGTTTTGGTTAAGACAAGGCTAGAGCATGGGTTTAGTCATGTCGTCCTTTCCTGTACTAAATGACAGTGGCCCCTGACAGCCAAGAGTAAGGCTTGATTTCTTAGACCATCATCTCAATGATGTCATTCTGACAAGGTCATTTCAATGATGTCAAACAATGTTATTCTAACAGAATTCTCTAATGATGTCATAGGCTGCCATTCTAATGATGGTGGCTTCCACTGTCAACCTCTCGTAGCCTTCCACACTTGTCCTCCATGATTCTCCAGTCTGTTTTTCCTTCCAATCCCCTCCTCCTGATTGATGGCAAGACTGATGGCTCCTCGGTGGAAGACTGTTTGACACATATTCTTCTACCTTGGACCGATTCATTGTGTACATGTGGGTCCCCCCCCAAACACCGTGAGTTCAAGGTCATGGCTGGCACATCTGTGTGGAATGCCTGTTGGGGCTGGGGACGTAGCAGTGGGCCACACAGATGGACCCCTACATTCTGGAGCCCAGCATGGGCTCCAGAAGCATTTGCTGAATCACTTGAGTGACAGCAGTGGTAATGGATAGATGGGAGAAGCAGGCAACCCAGAGGTAAGAACAGAATGGAGCCAAGGAAGCCAGGAGGGCCAAGCAGAGAGGGAGCTGGCTCTTCCCTCCCTTCTTTCTCACCAGAAAGTCAGCACCTCAGAGCCCCATGCTGTTAATCTTCTCTCCTCCCCTTCCTGGCTCTCACATAGCCACACTTTGCTTTTGAGAGACCCATCCAGTCAGAGCCCAGGACAGCACTCTCCCAGGAAAAGCCTCAAGGCCACCTACCTGAGCTCCAGACAACCCAGCTGCAGGGCCATGCCCTCACTGACCTTGCTGGCATAGCACTGCATGTAGTCACTCCGAAGCTGGTGGGAGAAAGGCCAAAGGTAAGACTCATGCCCTTACTTCCCTTCCCTGAGCAGAGGCCCCAGAAGCTAAACTCAGTCCTGCCCCCTGGGCTGTATCTCACACTCACCACGCATGGACAAGCACAGAGCAGGGATAGGGAGCAGAATGCGGTTTTCTCTCAGCTCTGCCTGGTCCCCTGGAGCCCCAGGAAGAGGTGTTGGTGTCTCCCTTTCATACACAGTCTCTTTCTACTCCAAAGTCCCCTCCCCACTCCCATTCAGAGGGAAGGAAACAGATTTGGGAAGAAGTCAGTAATTTATCCAAAGTGCTGTTGATAAGTAGGAATAGATGTCACCCACGGTCCAAGAGACATCTGACTTGGTGTCTAGCAAATGAGGAGGGATATTCTGGAGGGCACTAAGACTGGACAGAAATTGATGGTAGCAACTCACACTGTCTCAGAGCTTACCTTATCCAAATGCTGTGCTGAGCACTCTTTTAATCCAGTGGTGTGTTAGAGAGGCTCAAATAGTGCAGGAGAGCCTGAGCACATTTTCAGAAGTTTTGTGAGCTAGTGGCATAGTGGGAACACTTATGCAATAGGAACTGGCAAGTGCTACAAATCATGGATTTTTTTTTTTTTTTGCCAATTCACCAACAACCTGCTAATGATATTTTACAGTCTTCACTACAACCATATAAAGTAGATATTATGATAAGCACCATCTTACAGAAGAGGAAACAGCTTCATGCAGTTATATGAAGTCCCTGGGAAAACCAGGTTAGTCAATGGTAGACCTGGGCTAGAAACCAAATGTGCCAGACCTCAAAGTCTGTGTGTTAACCTGCTTTTCCTACTTCACTAGCCAGGTTTCCCAGGCCTCCATGGAAGTCCAAGAGTTGCTACAGGCATATGGAACAGGCTAACCCACACTCAAATAGCTAAGAGGGGAGAAGGTTGGAGTTGCTGACCATGGTCCAAGCAATGGCTTCAAGAGAAGCTTTCTAGAAAGGGCCTCCAGTACTTAGGATTTGTATTTCCATTTCCTCAGCACAGATAATGGATAGATGGATGGATGGGTGGATGGATGGATGGATGGATGGATGGGTGGATGGATGGATGCATGGATGGATTATGGATGCGTGGATTGATGATGAATAGATGGATAATGGATGGGTGGACCGAGGATGGATGGATGGATAGATACAAATGTGTATATGTATGTATGTATGGATGGATGGATGGATGATAGCTGGATGATGGATGGGTGGATTGAGGATGGGTGGATGGATAGATATGGATGGGTGTATGTATGTATGGATGGATGGATGATGGATGATACTCGGCATTTTTGATGCAGTGAGACCCTGTTTTTTACCTGTTGGTAAAAATAAAGCAGCGTGGTCCTATCTTCTTTCAGGCTCTCCATAAAGTCTTCTGGCAAGTAGCGGATTTGAAGGTCGTACCTGTGATAGGATAGTCAGAAGCTCTGGCTGACACAGGGAAGCTGGAATCTCAAACAGGCAGTGGGACCCCCAAGGGCAGAAGCAAGTCCACTTCCCAGCATACAGGGCTGACCAAGAGGCTCCTGACCACCCATCATAACTAGTTTCTTCCTTCCCTCCTCTGTGGCTGAATGGAGTATGACAGAAAGATGGCTAACAGGTAGTGGTCAGAACTAGCTCCAATTCTCCATCTCTTCTCCCTCATGGAAACTGTTTCCCTTAGATTCACAGACCAGCCCTTGACCTGGCTTTCCCATCCTCCCTACCCTCTGCTCTTCTTCACCATAGCACCAACAGCATTGTGTCAGGGATAGTCCTAGATTTCTGCCCTGTGATGGGGATTCACTGGGAGCCGTGGGTAGGCCTTGAAAATACACGCATTCAACACTATAGGAGAACAGAGTCTAGGTTGCCTCTTAGAGTTCTGAGTTTGGGGAGTGCTGAAAGGGAAGGCCCATTCTTACCTCCATTCAGCTTCCACGTGTAGACATTCATACTTGTCCTGCACCTCACCCACCGTCATCTGTGGATGTAACCAGTGGATCTCATCTGATTTCATGTGCTTTAGCCTCAGTCCATAGCACTCAGCCAGCTGGATGTTGGGCCCAATCCTCCCACTCAGCAGAATAGATGTGATGATCTCCTATGGAAGAGAGGACGGGACTCAGGAGTGCCCCCTGCTGGGAATCCCGCAATCCTCATGGACTTCTGGGTGTGATTCAGTCTTAGGGTTTTATTTGTTTCTGATTCGCTAGCATTTAGTACAACAAATTGGCACACAGTGGGTTCAGTCTGATGAATAAACCATTTGGAAAAATGAGACAGAGATAAAGGAAGAAGGAGGAGATACCAGAAGTGAGGACAAAATGCGGAGACAGCACAGATTCTGAGTGTCTGCACTGTGCTCCAATCAAACTGATAATCACTGAGCACCTGTCATGGCAAAAGCACCTTCTGTACCCTTTCCAGTCCAGCCAGCATGACTGGGCACTGGATCAGGCACTGTGAGGTACTCTGGACACGTGACTGAGCTGAGTCTACAAGGCAGAGGGAAGCAACCATTCTCACATGGCTGATGAGACTAACTGATGAAGGTCATATGGCCCATGAAATAAGCAGGGCTTTTGCATCTGGGCCATTGGACTCTGAGGACTGCATTGGCCAAGCTGATTCAGAGGATGGTGGGGTCAGGCAAGATAGAAAGACAAGACTCACATCAGGTTTGATTGGCACAGTCTCCACACAAGAAGCATGGCCACAGGAAATGGAAAGTTGGCAAGAAAGGTGCTCTCTTGTTCTGTTTTTTTTTATCACCCAGAGGTTAAGTGGACCACCTGCCCACACAGTCTGATGAGTCCGATCCACAACTTCCTGGCCCAGAACCAGAGCTGGATTAACAGGAGGACAATGGTGTGACTGACATAACATTGGTACCATTTGAACTCTGGTTTCTCGTGTGGTTACACATACAAGGGGTGAGCTGAGCAGGGTTCCCTGTCATGGAAATTTAATCACCAGAAGGCAGTGCACTGCCTTTGTTGGATGTCTTTGCCATGTGCTCACCACCACGCCTACTCTAGCCTACAGGCTGAATGATGCAGAAGAGGCCCCTGTCTGACCAGGAATAGGAGAAGCACTTCATTCTTAAGATTATTTTTAACATGCCTCCCAAGTAGTTGTCTAACTGGTAAGAGAAATGCAATTAATCCCTTAATTGGAATAAAAAGAGAGAGGTATACCTTTTTCTTAGAGGAAAATCGATTTCTTTATGTCAAACTAATAATTAAATAATACTGGTTTGAAACAATGCCTAATTATGCATCAGAATGGACACACATGTGTTTTAGATTGGGCCTCTCCTGACAGCTTTCTTGGACTCTGTGGAGTTGTGAAGCTAGAAGATTCCCAACCCCTCAAATGCCTTTCCCACTAGGAAAGAAAATGTCTACCAAAGATGATGGCAGAATTGAGGCTTGAGGATGGGGGAGAAGGTGTGATCTATGGTCCCTACAGGAGAGGAGTGGGGATGAGGTCAGGGTTGAGAAGTAGACAATTGTCACTCTCTCCACCCACTTCTGTCTCTGACCTTCTGGTTTGCTCTGCCCATTGGTCATCCTGACCGAACCCAGAACCTCTCTTTCCCTCCCTAGCCCCACCTGGAGTCTCCACCTCTGATGTTGAAACACAAAGCTTTCCATGTCTCTAATTGAAAATATAAGCTAATGGCTAACTTCCTCAGGGCTAGAACCCCTGTGGTATTTATTATTGGAAATATCAAACATACACAAAGTAAACAAAAGAGTACAATAGCTCTCCTCATACACATAGCTCACCTCCAACAATTACCTACATTCTGCCATTCTCCCTTCATCTATGCCACCGTCTACTCCCTAGCCATGGCTCACTATTATTTTTTTACAGATCTTCTTTTAAGGTAAAATTTATATACATTAAAATGCACAAATTTTAACTTTGATTTTGACACACGAATACACCTGTGTATTCCACACACCAATTAAGACACAGAGCTTTCCACATCTGCAGAAAGTTCTCTGTCTCCCTCATGACCCTCTCCCACCTCAACTCCAAACAACCACCTCCCTTTCCCCAGTTTCAATGAGTTTTGCCTGTTCTAGAAATTCACATAAATGACATGATTAGTATATGACTTTTTATGGCCAGCATTTGTCACTCAGCAAAATGTCTGAGATTCAGCCACCTTTATTGCATTATTTATTGCATTATTACTTTATTTCTTTTCATTGATGGGTGATATTCTAGGTTACAAACAAACCACACAACATGTTTAGTCAGAACCATACTCCTGGAAACCTGGGCTATTTCTATTTTTTTACTATTATGAATTAAATTACATTGAAAGTTAATATTCAAGTATTTTATATGTATGTTATTTACTTTGAATAAATTGTGAGGAGCAGAATTACTGAGTCAAACTTGTGCTTGACTCTAAAGGAAGCTGCCAAGTTTATTCCACTTTTTATACCCATTGTGACAAGAGACTTGTTACACCACATCTCTACCAACAATGGGTATTGTCTTTTTAATATTAGCCATTTTAGGAGGTGTACACACATATACACACACACAGCAGATCTCATTTGCTTTTAATTTGTATCTCCCTGATGATGAATGATATTTAGTATGTTTTAATGTGCTTTTTTGACCATTCATATACCTTCTTTTGTGAAGTGCTTGCTCAAATATTTTATCCATTTTTATATTTTTGTGATTGAGTAGATAATAAACCTACTATTTATTAGGAAGTCTATCTAAAAAAATCTAGATAAAAACACTTTGTATGATGTATTTTCCAGATATTTTCTCCATGTTTGTAGGCTTGCATGCTTGCCATTCACTTCCATATCTTGAATTAGTGCTTGTGTATGGTGTGAGGTAGAGGTAAAATTCATTTCTTCCCAAATAGACGTACAGTTGTTCAGGATTGGTTTTTGACTTCTTTTTCCAAATGAATTATATTTTGTCTTTGTAAAAAAATCAATTGACCACATAAGCTTAGGTCTGTTTTTGAATCCTCACTTCTGTTCTATTGGTCTTTATCATTGTCAATACCATCCTGTTTCTATTACTGCAGTTTTAGAGCAGGATCTATAAGCCAAACAAGTTATGTCTTCTGTCATTTTCCAAGATTATTGGGTTATTTTAGATCTTTGCTCTTACACATTTTAGAATCAGCTTTTTACTTTCTCTTTCAAAAATCTGAAACATTATTATGGGGACAGTGTTACATCTATAGTTAATGGTAAAGAATTGACATCTTTTTTTTCTAGGACTAGGATTTGAACTCAGGGCTTCTCGCTTACAAAGGAGGCACTCTACCACTTGAGCCACACCTCTAGTCCATTTTGTTTTGGTTATTTTGGTGATTTTACCAACTATTTGCTTGGACTGACCTCAAATTGCAATCCTCCCTATCTTGGCCTCCCAAGTAGCTAGGATTATAGGTGTGAACCACTGGCTCCCTGCAAGAGAGAGCTGACAACTTAACAGCATTAATTCTTTTAATTACTGAACATGGTATAACTCTCCTAGTTTAGCTATTTAGTTTCTCTTACTAATGTTTTATAATTTTCAGTGTGTAGGTTTTGGTCCTAAGTACTGTATATATTTTGGCTCCTCTGTGATTTTGGAAATTTTTAATTAATTACTTTTATTTGGAGGCTTACCCTTTCTGGGCTTCCCCCTTGGCTGGCAGCCCACGTTCTAACTTCTGATACTGAAGCTAGCAAGGCAGCATCTAACCGCAACTGCCCCTCTGGAGATAAGCCAAAAATTTGCAAATCTCATTCATCATAGTTCATCTCCCCAAAGCAGTTTCCCTTCTGGGTTCTGTTTGCTATGGTTCTCCAATGCCTTAGGATTCACGTTAATTTTTTGTCCAGACTTTATATTATTGTTACCTTTAGGAATATTAGTCCAGACAAGCTGTTCTACCATCTTTGATGTCTCTGTGCTATTTTATGAATGAATCTGTGTTCTCTGCAAATGGGAGAGGACTGGGGCACAGAGAGCTCCTTCCAAGTCAAAGTCAGCAGGAAAACACTACAGCAATAGCAAGGAGGATGAGCCCTGGTGCCAGACTTGAGTATAGCCCTCCCCCTGCCACAACCTGGTTAGATGTCCTTGGACAACGCATGGATGTTCTTCAGACACAGCTTTTCATCTAGAACACGGAGAAAACATCAGTACCTCTTTGGAATGGTTTTGTGAATTTCTAAAACTCTTTGGAATATCGTTGGCTCAGGGTAAAAAATAAAAAATAAATTATTTTAACACAGCAACCTCTTGCAGAGTTTGGTGCTTTGTAAACCAGATTGGGAAAACAAAAGTTTGTTTTCCTTTTCTACTACCTTTTTATTTGGCCAAGTGTCAATTTAGTAAGGTGAGGAGTTGGCATCGGTAGCAGGGCCAGGAGCAGAGATGGCTGGAGTGATGAGGAGAGTGAAGACAGAAATGTATTGAGGATGAGGGAACGTTTGCTGTTGGAGAAAGTACTCAAAACGTGGAAAGGGGGATGGGGTGGCTAGAAAGTACCCTGGACCCTGTAGTAAGGGATTGGAATTAGAAACATTGGCATGATTCATGATGTGAGAGAGAGAGAAAGACAGAGACAGAGACAGAGACAGAGACAGAGACAGAGAGATAAAGGCAGAGAAAGATACAGAGAGAAACAAAGTCAGAGACAGAGCTACTGAAAGGGCTTAGGAGCAATGAGTAATTTCAAACCAAGCAGCAAGTCTTAATTTCCAAATACCCTTCTTACTAAAAGAATCCAAGGTTCCTTGGAGAAATGTATGGTTTCACTGCTGGGAAAAAAAAAAAGAAAGTATAATATCCTGAAACATCATTTTGTGCCAGGATAAACTAAAATGTTTAGAAAATGTTGGGGATTTATAACAATGGTACAGAGTCAGCATGAAAGTGCCCACATTGGCCAAAGCTGGGATAACCTAATCATTAATATATACTGATAGGAATCAATTACATCTCATTGGATAAAATACAGTCTAAAACAGATAAACAAATAGAGGAGGCCAGGCGTGGTGACTCATGCCTGTGGTCCCAGTTACACGGAATGCCAGCTTGGCAAAATTAGTGAGAGAC